TTTGCACTATTAATAAAGGGACATTTTATTTTTAAATCAATGTGACTTCCACCAATATCGTCTCATTAGCGTATTTATAGGGTGTGTACTAAATAAAATTAAATGATTGTTTATCTAATAGCTCTCCCATTCACTTCTTATCGACGGATGTTGTTGAACCGATAATTGTACTGTCAGGTCCCACGACGGTTTCTTGGTACGCTGGTGGTACGTTCCTCGAATCGAAAAACAATTGTAGAGCAGTGGAGTTAGTGTTTTAAGTTACTTTGTTCTTTTGATCGGGTAATATGTACTGCTGTAATGTTTCTTCCGGACTAACTGAAAATTTTCCACTGCGGCATCCAATGAGTACCATTTTTTATTTTCTTTTTCTACGTTGTAATTGAAACGGAAGACTTTAATTATGAAGATTAATCTCATTTCAAAAGATCCAAGCCTGAGTGAGGGGGAAATATTGAAATTTTGAAAGGGTCGTATTTGTGAATTAATTGAAATTTTGAGCGCTGTGCCAGAATACGAAATGAATCACGATTCTCATAAGCGATATAATGTATTAACGATGTATTTTTATGACACAAATAAAACAAAACCGCGTTACATCCGCAGTTTGTGGTCTGGTGTACATTCGACAGCACATCAAATTGAACATGTAGCATCTTATGTAGTCGTAATAGGCTTTATTTTGCATCAAAATACTTATACATATAAATCTGAATACGTCAATATGCCACGTGAGCAGACGATGGGGTTCCTTCCTCAGAGGAACTTGCTAGCTCTCGTGAAAATTAATCTTTCGGAATGAATTTAAATTAAACCGAAACTCAACCGCGTTAAGTTAGTGGAAAATAGCAATGCGTGCGGGCGGAAAGCATTAATCGCGTGCGGCAGTGGCTTACTGGCCGCAAAATAAAAAGTTAAGTAATTAAAAAATTACACTTTAAGAAAATCGATAAGAACTTTATCTCCAACTTAAGCAGCCATTATGATGGCAATAGGCAACCCTAGCTGACGACAGACTCGTAGAATCGAGACGTAAAAGACCCTATGCCAGTCTACACTGATGCAGTTTCCACAAACGGCTTCTTGATTTGTGGTCTAGAAAACAAAAAGCTGTCGCAAAATCTCCCAAACTGCATGGCAACATCACAACAGCGTCGTTATGACGTCGCACGAATACTGTAATCGGTTACGCCTTTGACGTCACGTTACGTATCACAGACTAGCTTTGTGACTCCCAAGTCCCAAAGTAACAGCTTTGAATCATTTATTACCCTGCATGTAACATGCTAGAGTCGTGGAATACTTTGCCAAGGACAACAATTTATGTCTGCTAGAGCGACCATTTCTGTGATTATGAGTTGTTCAGACGTATAGATTTTGTATACCAAGAGTAAATTAACGTAACTTTTTGCCAATTCTAATTTTCTATTATTCTTTTATTCTTTCTTTCTACTATTCTTGGATAGTTAATATTAACTAGTTTATCTGTGATATTACCTACCTACACCATACTCCTAGGGGAATTATTTCAATCCAACGTCTAATGTGTACAGAAGAATGCGCTCATTGATATCTAAAACGTTTACTATAGAAACGATATTGTTATCACAGTACACTTAATCTGAAAACTTTCCATACACAACGCTCCCACCAGATAGTGGAAGGCAACTGCGTTTCACCTGAATTATCTCTGAATTTATTAATAACACGCTAATTAATGATCCTCTGATACTCTTTGAAGTTGGACTCTATTTTAGCCAGAAATAATGCTTAAATTAATTCATAAACCCGGTTTCAGAACTGAAATTTTTGGCTTAAGCATGCTCATCTTCTGATCAAGTATCAACTTTTCATATTAAATTCATCCTTTAATGAATGATGAGCACGATCAAGCTGGAAATCTCAATTCAGAACCCGGGCCATGGTCTCACAATGGAAGTAAAAAAAATCAAGTACATTACGTGTTGTACAATGAACTTTCTGTTATCGTTTGACTCCTTCAAAAAGACTCACCGAAACGCAATATGTACTACGCCAAAATTAACATTAACAGTTGCAGTTGATATGCTGGATTCCTGGCTTGAATTAAATTCTCAAATTAAACTTTAAACTTTAGTCGACTACGCTTCCACGCAATCTATGCACATGTCGTGGCAGCTTTTAATTGAGGCTACATAAACATGTATTGATTTCAATGTTTCTTTACATTTCATTGTGTATGTCTTGTTAGCTGTCCTTATATAAATAAATACTGATTCTACTCGTACTTGCATCATCCCAGAGTGCAATTTTTCACCTTGCAAATCGTTATCGCAACCAGTTGCAGTGGAAGACTACTAAATGTGTCTGTCGCCTCCAGCCAAGTCTAATAAGTATCGTGTTATCCTCCCATTCATTCAATACCCTCCTACTCACCGAGGAATTCAATAATGCGGCACTTATCCATATACTAACTTTATACACACAATCGCAAAAGGATGCAAACTATTTTTAACCTTACTCCCAGTAAACAAGCTTGTTTTTCTCTTTTGAAGGTGACAGTACCTACATAGCCTATTGCGTCATACCAATTTCCAAATTTTTCCGTAGGAATTTTTCTTTATGCCTACTCAGAATCGTCTAGACGGGTTCACCCTTAAACAAGGTGAAGCCATTACAGAAACACGAATTCATGCAAAACAAATTAGAGCCGTAATTAAGGTATATTCAAAGAATATCAGATTCGTAAACCCTATTAACTGAAAATTATGTAACTTGTTTATACCTTCAACAATATGCTCCTAAATATCATATTATCATGTGATAATATTTTTCAATTACTGATGAAAATAAATATTGTTATTTAAATATGCGTCCTAGCGATATTTAATGAAAAAGCTTCTACTGTATCTCGAGCCAAACTAAACCAATTAATCTTTAAAGAAAAACTTTTAATTGCAACACCCCCACACACCGCAAAGGCGTTGGTGAAGAGTTTCATTTATTCCTTTGATGCTTGGTTGAGTATCAAATATTCATTTTACGTTCGCGAATCATCAATGTAAGTAAATACGGAGGATCAATTCCATCAAATAGCGATTCGCTTTACAGTTGATACAGCATTTCGCTTTGCTCGATATAAACCTCTTTGGTTACGTAATAATCAGAGGCAGGTAATTTACACAAGGGTTGTCGACGAAATTCACAGTTATAACGTATTATACGACTTTAATGGGAAAAAGTATCGAAAAACCATTATGAAGCTGATGTGCCCATTATTTTGTTAGTTCTTGTGTGAGATTCTGTGGGCGCCTACGGGTTGGTCAATAGCGGATGGATCCGTGACGTCACGGTGCGCGCGCACGCCCTTCTGTGATACTCTGACCTTTAAGATATAACTGGAGTGATAAGGTTTACGCTCTCGTTCAGCTGCAGTTATGACAGACTAGCTAGACGATATTATGATAGATATTACAGAACCGATCGCGAGCGTTGTATGAATTGTGCAAAGCATGCTAGGAACTATAAATATGATGATGGTAATAAAACTGGATATTCTAGTGCAGTAAAACGTTTGCCATGGAATAAAGTACCTAGGTCATAATCGAAACAGTATTGTGTAGGTCTGTGTAGTTAGAATGCTATGAGACACTTGCCTTTGTTAGCTTTTTTCTGAGAATTTAACGCAAAATTTTCTAGAAAGGTTAAAATGATTCCTTGCATTTGAAGAGTCTCTCTAGCTCCCCAATTTATAAGGTAAATCATGGAAACGCGCTAATGTCATGTGCTGGTTGTGTTGTTCACACATTATACCTACTTATTCGATACTCTATCTGTATCTGTACTGTATTGGAAGATCATTGAGGCGGATATGTAAACAATTTTAAAAGCAAAGCCACATTTTTCCGATGTTGCTGCTACAGTAAATGTTTACATTGTACCTACACAAAATGGTAATTTCGGCGAATCTGTTTGGTTGTTGTATGTGCGGCTTAATTCTCGAAGCTCTGTCTATGGTAAACTTACAGATGATTTTCATCCTTTTTCGATCTTAGGAACACAAAAGAGTGTCGCATTTTTTGTTCAGTATGATATGTATTGTAGCTTTTTTGTTAAACAACTTTCTTTAACGTCTAAAATGCATCGTCGATTCGACATAAAGCTAAACTTCTAAGGCCTCAGCCTCGAACTTAGCGGGCAGCGGGGCGGCGGCGGCGGCGGCGCGGGAGCGGCAGGATCTTATGCGTAAAATCAAATAGACCGGTTCTCGAAAACAGCGGCGCGGCAGCGGAGCGGGCAGAGCGCACTCCTTCTTTTGCCCACAATAAATCGAGCGTTAGGAATAAATTTGAATCGAAATAAAATTGTCGCCGTTGTTCAGACATTTCGTTTGCGAATAAAAACAAATATCTCGACAACACAACCCCGAACACAACACTTCGCCGCTAAAGCGCCGCGCGAGCTGCCCGCTTGTTTCGAGAACGGGTCTGCGTTGCCCGCCTAGGGTTGCCAGGTCCAAAATCACAAAAGCCGGACTTTGTGTTTCATTTGGCCGGACATTTTACCCTAAAAGCCGGACATGTGACGGGGGGAGGGGGGGGGGGTGTACAATTAGTGTCAGCTCATGAGTGGGTACTACATCATCGGTTGCTAACCAACATCCTGATGCGTGCGCTTCATATGATTCTGTGGCTCGACTTTCACCTGGCGCGGCAACCAAATAAAAAGCCTAACAAAAGCCGGACAGGCCGGACGAGGCAATATTTGGCCGGACAAGACCCTAAAAAGCCAAACATGTCCGGCTAAAGCCGGACGCCTGGCAACCCTATGCCCGCCCCGCTCCAGCGCCGCCGCCGCTCCCGCCCTGCTGCCCGCTAAGTTCGAGGCTGAGGCCTAAGTACTCTTTAGAAGAAAAGTGTTCACTTGGGAATGAATACTATGGTGATATGGTCCCAAGTCACTACCTTCTCTCTCCGTTGTAACTTACAAAAGCCAGAAACTGAAATTCTTTCTCCTTCCAGGGACTCCCACCAGCTAGACCTGCCTGCCTTCGGGCGCTACGCCACCGGCATCTTCTTCCTCGACAAGCTCCACCACCAGGGCATCGAGAGCAAGTTCCAGGAGTTGGCCGAGAGCATCGGCCTCAAGGTCCTATGCTGGAGGACCGTGCCTACCAACAACTCTACCATTGGTGAGTGCTATGAGATTCTATGAGTGTTACATGTAAGGATGTACACGCTTTATGATCTGTAAACCTGTTAAATGTCGCTTTTTTGTGAAACTTTTTGTGTCTGTTGTTTTAAGTGTTTTATACAAATATCTATATTACAAAATATGAGGTAAAGGTCACAGTAATAAAAAATACAAACCAAAAGCTGAGTTGCACCATCTTTCTTTAACTATAACCAACGTCAGAAGTCTGTCAAACTGTATACAAAAACACCGGTTATGGTTATAAAGCCTGGTCCGTGAGCACGTAGAATCCCGTCCAATGACCCCAAGCTACCCATCCCTATCGCTCGCGCGTAATTATGTTGCTGTCGCGCTCGCACAATCACTGCGGGCGCCCGTCGCACAGTCGCGACAGCAACATAATTACGCGCGAGCGATAGGGATGGGTAGCGTGGGGTCATCAGACGGGATTCTACGTGCTCACGGACCAGGCTTTAGTTACGTTTAAAGCAAGGTGGTGCGACTCAACCTTAGATATGGATATTTTTCGTAATGTCTATCATAAAGCGTATTATACTTGTATGTTCACTAAAGTACATTTTGCAGACTAAATTGTTATTCATTTATTAAGTGTTAAATGTTACTGTAAATTGCATGTAGGGACTGGCATCTTGACGTTAACGTTTCATGCCTTCATGCATTTGTCGGTTTGTGTTCAATAGATCGATTCGTTTGATTGTGATTATAGAAATTGATTTTCCGTTAAAATTGTTTTGATTCGATTTCTTAACAAAAATAAGGTATCGTTTCTCAATTTATGTAATACCTTTTGTATATTTTCTTTTTGTAAAATGATTTTAAATGACATCCACCTTGCTTACCACAATTCGTTTGCCGAATTATTGTAAATGTAGTATACTATCTATACGAGAAACGATACCTGCACCAATATCTTAAAACTGATTAGTCTTTTGTTGCCAACATAACCCGCATAGGTTGCGTAATTCCTAAATACATCCATAGTTGGCTCGCTTCTTCCACGAACTGTTTCGGAGCTGCGACTTGTCTTGCGACTCTCATTACAGGTCGCACGTAGTAGTCGAATGGGTCGTAAATACGCGGTCGCCGCGGTCATGCGATGCTTGGCCATCTGGTTTGTTCAATTCAACACCTTTGGGTACTTTTATGGCGAATCCACTCAATTGTCTATTCAGTCAGCTAAAAAATAAGACCTTTCGATTGACCTATTTCCATTTACGCACTACCAATAATTCACTATTAAATATTGCGTCAACTACATTTAATAGATGATAATGACCTCTCACGAAAAGTTTTCCAGATCGCATTGAATCGATTATTGAGTGGTTTTGCCGTACACTGTTCCCAATTTATCAAAGGAGTGGTCGCTTATGTTCATATTTATGATCTGGTTCTAATAATGTGAACATATTGACATAATTACTCCGTAAACGAGGTTAATACGGTATAATTTTGCATGACACAAACTATAACTCAAGTCTAAATTATGCTTAACTATGATTACAAACGAAAAAAGAAACCGAAAAAAAATGTAATGTTAAATTATACCGTATGCCTATCATATAAGTTCTAAATTTTTGATTTGTCGAAAGACTCCAGATTTTTGATAAATTAGTTTAAATGATTGTATTTTGGTCTCATTAACGTTGCAACACGTAGATGGTAATCACAATTAGAAACTTACCAAACATTGGTTCATATTAGCTTCGAACTGTCATAAATGCTGCCATTTTGCTTGCCAATAGTTTTATGTTTAATGTTTATGATCCATTCCAGTTGGTTTGTTAGCCACAAGGCATTTATGACTTGTAGAAACCAAAATTAGCATTTGTGCCATTTCATAATACCATCCGAGTGTTCATCTTATGTGTATGTCAAGCTTTCTGCGTACTATGGTGTTCACATGACTCGCGATAAAATTTAGAATAAATGAAAAAAATACCAACTGACCTTTTCCGTCAGCTTGGTCTTGATGACAATATTGTGCAAGGAAAACAAATGCTATCAACGCTATCAATATAACGAGATTGCCCGAAAGATGCCTTGAAAAATCTGGCAGGGAATTCCACTCCTTGGCCATTTATGATCCTGAAAGCACCATAGCATGCAGTGACCATTTAAACTCGAAATAAATTAAGTCTAGCCGTAACCACAATAATTACAAGAGGTGAAACTGGTAAAGTTAGTAACGGCCTGTTTTGACTGGCTTTCAGGTCAGGTGGCTCGAAACTCGGAGCCATTTATGCGCCAAGTGTTTGTAACCGGAGATATCGAAGACGAGATACAGCTAGCCCGTCAGGTAAGGCCAGACGAGGGACGCCGACCGAGGGTATGATAATAAGAAGAACGAGTATGAATCCGTAACTATACGTTACTGCTTCAAACTCTGATGTAGTGAGGCATAGGAAAGGTACTTAAGGATTTCTTTTCAGATGCGCGCCGGAGGTCGCGGCGAGTCGGGCAGCGCTACACGTAAATGACCCTATACGATTCCCTTTGTGTTGGCGCGTGGTGCGCGACCGCGAGTGCAACTGCAGTATGTTTCAGGTATTCGTACTGAGGAAACGCGCGTCGCATGAGCTCGTCGTGCCCGGAGCGAGGTTCTACATCTGCAGCTTGTCGCTGAAGACTGTGGTCTACAAGGGATTGCTCACTTCTAATCAGCTATGGGTGAGTTTCGGTTGTTGATATTCCGCATTGATTTGTGAATGTACAGGACACGATAAGATAGAATTGCGGGAAACGTAAGACACAACGTCCAAATAGTTCGCACTCCTGTATTGTCACGTTGTAAATGCTTCTTCAAAATGTCCTATACATTACTAATTATTCTTTGTTATATTTTATAAGAGTTGTACATGTATGCAAAAAAAAAATTCTGTTTATGTGTCCCACTTTAAATAAATCTGTATTGTACCTACTGTGCTCTTGAATATACAAAGCTCTTTGAACAAAAAAATCTGTGTGCAAACATTTGAAATGTATGCTTTGCTAAATGAATTTCAAATTGTATACCTATATCCTATAGTTGAGTAATGAAAGGCGAAGATGCGTGGCCAATTCCGTAGGCATTAAAGACTAAGGCTGAGTTGCACCACCTAACTTTAACAGTAACTATAAGGATAACGGCAAAAGCTGCAGAACTGAGTCTTCCTGACAAGGCATTTATGAAGTTTGTCAAAGAAAGTAAGATGGTGCAACCCAGCCTAATTCAAGCCGTTGTGTGCATTGTTCCTAAATGCGTTGCGTCCGGCAGGAGTACTTCAAGGACCTGACGAACCCGGCGTTCACGACGTACCTGGCGCTGGTCCACACTCGCTTCTCCACCAACACCTTCCCCAGCTGGGAGCGAGCGCATCCTTTGAGGTATGACCACCAGATAACCCTTTATTTATGCCTACGCACAGTCATATACAGGGTGGCCAGGGAGTTGACGTTCAAATCTAAAATGGATTACCCCTATGTATGTTCTACGATTTTGCTTAGTTTAGGAGATAGAGTGAATTTTGTGATTTATCCTAAACTATCACCTATGGTTGGTTTTTAATTTTTTTCTCACTCTGGAAGCTTCTCTAGCGCAAGTAAGTAAAAACAAACTACAAGTGCTCGCCAGAGTGAGAAAAAAATTAAAAACTAAGCAAAGTCGAGGAACATACATGGGGTGATTTAGATACACCTTGATGTAAGGAATCTAAATTTTAGCTTTGAACGTCAACTCCCTAGCCACCCTGTATAAGATTTTAAAGTTATACATGTTCACAGTTATTCATATCCAATGACTCACCGTCATAGATGTGCATACTAGCTCTAGCCCAGCTGCACATAAGTGAAAACACCTAATATTTACCTCGAAGTAGACTTTAACTTAACCTTCAATTTATATTGCTCATGATCACAAACTCCTGCAATCCTTATGCCAAGGCACAAGTGAATAAACAAACATCTTCTCACTGCAAACTTTCTCTACTGTAGATTGTAAATGCGCTACGTAATAGAACATTTTTCATCATTAAAAACTACCAAGATAAGACCATGTTGCGATTCTGGATAAACTGACTAAATCCTGTCATATTATTTCAGAGTGCTTGCCCACAATGGCGAAATAAATACATTACGAGGTAATGTGAACCTGATGAAGGCTCGCGAGGGAGTCATGAAGAGCGAAATCTTTGGAGAAGGTAAGATACAAAAATATTTATTACATCACTATAACTAAACTATAACATGTACCCAAATTCACAATGTTCCTACTTCTCTTCTAGATCTCAAGAAGCTTTACCCAGTCGTGGAGCCGAATCTCTCAGACTCTGGTTCAGCCGACTGCGTACTGGAGTTCCTTCTCCACTGCGGCCAGCGGTCCCTGCCAGAGGCCGTCATGACCATGGTGCCTGAAGCCTGGCAGAACGACCCCACCATGCCCAAGGAGAAGCGAGACTACTACCAGTGGGCCTCGTCCGCTATGGAGCCGTGGGACGGGCCTGCCTTGGTCTCCTTCACCGATGGCCGTTATATTGGTAAGTCTTCCTTACAGCCTCAATATAAATGTATGCTTGAGGTTTGGTGGAACTACCACCAGTTCCTTCTCCACTGCGGACAGAGATCCCTGCCAGAGGCTGTCATGACCATGGTGCCTGAAGCCTAGCAGAACGACCCCACCATGCCCAAAGAGAAGCGAGACTACTACCAGTGGGCCTCGTCCGCTATGGAGCCGTGGGATGGGCCTGCCTTGGTCTCGTTCGCTGATGGGCGCTATATTGGTAAGTCTTCTTTACAGCCTCAATAACTATATGCTTGATGCTTGGTGGAACTACCACCAGTTCCTTCTTCACTGCGGCCAGCGGTCCCTGCCAGAGGCCGTCATGACCATGGTGCCTGAAGCCTGGCAGAACGACCCCACCATGCCCAAAGAGAAGCGAGACTACTACCAGTGGGCCTCGTCCGCTATGGAGCCGTGGGACGGGCCTGCCTTGGTCTCCTTCACCGATGGCCGCTATATTGGTAAGTCTTCGCTATATATGTATGCTTGAGGCTTGGTGGAACTACTACCAGTTCCTTTTCCACTGCGGCCTGAGGTCCCTGCCAGACGCCGTCATGACCATGGTGCCTGAAGCCTGGCAGAACGACCCCACCATGCCTAAAGAGAAGCGAGACTACTACCAGTGGGCCTCGTCCGCTATGGAGCCGTGGGACGGGCCTGCCTTGGTCTCGTTCACTGATGGGCGCTATATTGGTAAGTCTTCTTTACAGCCGAGATAAGATATTGAGGCTTGGTGGAATGATACCACCATGCTCAAAGAGAAGCGAGACTACTACCAGTGGGCCTCGTCCGCTATGGAGCCGTGGGACGGGCCTGCTTTGGTCTCCTTCACTGATGGGCGCTATATTGGTAAGTCTTCCTTACAGCCTCAATAATATGCTTGATGCTTGGTGGAACTACTACCAGTTCCTTCTCCACTGCGGCCAGCGGTCCCTGCCAGAGGCCGTCATGACCATGGTGCCTGAAGCCTGGCAGAACGACCCCACCATGCCCAAAGAGAAGCGAGACTACTACCAGTGGGCCTCGTCCGCTATGGAGCCGTGGGACGGGCCTGCCTTGGTCTCCTTTACCGATGGGCGCTATATTGGTAGGTCTTCCTTACAGCCTTAATATCTATAAGCTTGATGCTTGGTGGAACTGCTACCAGTTCCTTCTCCACTGCGGCCAAAGGTCCCTGCCAGAGGCCGTCATGACCATGGTGCCCGAAGCCTGGCAGAACGACCCCACCATGCCTAAAGAGAAGCGAGACTACTACCAGTGGGCCTCGTCCGCTATGGAGCCGTGGGACGGGCCTGCCTTGGTCTCGTTCACTGATGGGCGCTATATTGGTAAGTCTTCATTACAGCCTCAATAATATGCTTGATGCTTGGTGGAACTACTACCAGTTCCTTCTCCACTGCGGCCAGCGGTCCCTGCCAGAGGCCGTCATGACCATGGTGCCTGAAGCATGGCAGAACGACCCCACCATGCCCAAAGAGAAGCGAGATTACTACCAGTGGGCCTCGTCCGCTATGGAGCCGTGGGACGGGCCTGCCTTGGTCTCCTTTACTGATGGCAGATATATTGGTAAGTCTCTTTTACTGCCTGGTTGAGGCTAGATCGAACGACCTTATTGTTCAATGGATCTGATCTGATCGAGCTGATTAATCGTCGTGGGTCAATTGATAGTTTAACTTTACTCCGGGACGAACTTTACCTTCACTGATTGGGCTTTTATTGGCGATCAAGCAGTGGGAACGAGAGGTGGGAATAGTACTGTTTGTTCAATTTAAAATAATGCTATGGAGCCGTGAGACGGGCCATTGTCTCCTTTACTGATAGACGTTACATTGACAATTTTTCAAGTCAAATTATTCCCCTTTCCTGAAAAGAAGTTACACGGTGATTACTCTATCAGTGATTTTTATTCACTGTTACCGATTCCTTGGTGTCTTTCTAGCGGCAAACAAAGACCTAAATAACGTATCAACGTCATTTCAGGTGCCATACTGGACAGGAACGGTCTGCGTCCGTCCCGCTTCTACGTGACAAGCGAGAATATTCTCGTCATGGCGTCTGAAGTCGGCGTGTATGACGTCGACCCGGAGAAAGTAATTTTGAAGGTAAGGACAATTATTTTGACATTACAGCTACACATCTCCCTTAGTGGCCTCTTTATACAGGGTGTCCCAGAATGGGTGAATCAAACTGATAGGGGAGGTAGCTCTACTAATGTTTACAGATTTTCAAAAGTTTGTTTACAGATAAACGAAGCGATCATGTACAATTAATATTAGTAAGAAAAAAGTACAAATAAACTCCAAACGCAGCAATTATAGCCAGGCAAAGCTGATTTATTTTCACTTTTTCAAGTATTTTTTTATTTTTATTTTTTTTTCATTTTTTTGGGATAGTACATTAGTAGAGCTACCTCCCCTATCAGTTTGATTCACCCATTCTGGAACACCCTGCATAAATACGGGAAGAGTTGGGGTGGTCCTTTTCTACACTGCTGGAACCACACGGCTCACAATGTAGGCTAAATCCGCCAGTTGCTGGTAAATAAAATAATGTTTTCATTCTGCAGTGCGAGATTACTATGGCCTTATGATGATGATAATGTATCTCTAATAACTATATTTGACGTTTTCACTGCTTGACCACTAGACCAGTGGTTCCCAAATTTGTCTGGGCTACGACTATCTAATACAGTTCCCAAACTCGGGACCCACCTATAGGAAATTTCGCCCGCTGCCCAGCGGTTGGATGGGTAGGGTGGTGTGTCGTTCTACAGGCAGGGCCCAGTCAATATTCGCTCGCGACCCACCACTTCCACCTCTAGACCAATTTTAATGAATATGTTACGGTCAAAGTGATAAATGTGAAAATTATGAATAATCGCCGGTTATTATGAATAATTACCTCATGATTTGGTAAATGTGATTAAAATGAGGTCATTTATGTGTGTATAAAACTAAATAGGCGGCTTAGGGGTGGCCCAAGGGCCACCCCCGCCGCACCTTAACCTATTTTTCACTTTAAATCAAAACATTATGTTATAGGCATCATGGAAAAGTAATATTATGCAAGAAACATTCCAAACTCATTATACCAAATTATATTAATATATGATATCAAAACGTTCAAAAGTTTGGCTGTACACGAACACGTACACAAGATGTTGTTCTCTTTTATGAAATTTGTTAGTACTAAGGTTGAATTATTAAATAATCACTGTTAAATGTGATTAATTTATCACTTTCACCGCGACTGTCGGGAATTATTCATAATAACCGGTTATTATTAATAATTTTCAATTTATCACATTAACCGTAACAAATATATTGATTGAGGTATTGTTAGTTGAGATATAGTAATTATAGACATAAAATGTAATAAATATTAATGTTTTCTTCCCCCAGAGCCGTCTGAAGCCCGGCCGTATGTTGCTGGTGGACACAGAAGAGAAGAAAATTATCCAGGATGTCGAGCTGAAGCTGAAGATCGCTCAGAGTCGTCCCCATTCCAAGTGGTTGAGCGAACAGGTACTGAATACTTGATTGTCTATATAAATTACATGGGAAATGTTCTTGTTCAGGAAGGTAGTTCGCTTGAAAGATCTTGTAAATAAGTTATTGAAACAGAGAGACAGAAACAGATAACTGAAATGTTTCGGTGCTATTACCATTGATTCACTTTGCAATCAAATATAGCTTAGTCTAAGGCTGAGTTGCACCATCTTACATATAACTTTAAACGTCAAAAATGTGTCAAAGTCCATACAAAAAACACCGGTTATCGTCATAGTTACAGTTAAAGTTAGTTGGTGCAACTCAACCTAAGTCTAGCAGTCTAAAGTCTGGTCATAGACAGTTCGGTTCTAATTAACTTGCAAGATCTTTAGTCTATTGACGTGAACGATAAGTCTGTTGGTCTTTATGGTGGTGGTATATTACTGAAATATATCGTATGTATCATCCTTGATATTACATAACAGCACTATTTGAATGACTGAGCATCCAATCTCCCAATTATTACCTATCAAATGAATGCTATTATGTATTTATATTTTATGGACATACACAACATACTTCTCTCTAATACATTTTATCAATTACACACATTTCATACGCATTGACTAACGAAACACACTTTGTTTATTATATTTATCGACACCATTATAATACCAATGTCTCTTTTTCTATGCCGCATTCGATCTGCCGTTGGGATAACAAATATTATTTAAGATGGTGAGTTTTGTAGCATGGATGGTGTGGAGTTTCGGTTTCAGAGTTGCTTCTTTAAAACAGTAGAAAAATAATGCTAAGATACTACTAGCGCCTCTAGTGGTACTATTTTGAAACTGCTTAAATATTTGACTAATTTTTTGATAAGTTATTTGTACGTACAGTCGATAACACATTGGCCTATAAAGTTATGTTGCAAATTCGCTCTTATTAAAACTAAATAAGATTATTAGCTCGATATGCCGTCATCTGTACATCAGTAGGCCTAGGATGCGCGCCGCGATAAGCGGTTATCACGCCATTTTATCGATTTTTCCCATACATTTTGACTTCGATAAAGTATATCACGTCGCGCATCCTAGCGCTGGTTTCGTTGTTCAGTACGAAATGAGAACTCCCAAAGTCAAGCATTACGTTGTTGAAAACAAAGTAAATTAGAAGATAATTTGATTTATTGGCTTTTGGTATTAAGTATGTAACCTTTACTTAATACCTATAACAAAATTGTTGGCGTTGTTTCGTTTTTATATTAATAAAATTGCTTACTAGACTGTTAGTCAGCTTTAGATCGTGATACAACTTGAACTAATTACAGCTGGATAAAATAAGCCACGCTCTCCATTTATTCCTTGATTTGAACAGCAACTGGATAGTTGAATTGTCACATTTAATATATTTTCTTTGAATTAACTGAACTCCACTCTTAATAATAACTTGGTGAGCCCCAGACGAAAGTGGCTACTTAGTTTTGAACTCCAATTTTCTTAATTTGAATTTGCCCAATGGCTAACTAGAGTTATCTGGAGTTGTAAATTGTGAAATTAGCAAGTAACTATTGACCACTAGTCGAATTCTATAGTTTAGTTGTCTATGGCCCAACAAACTACTGAATAAGATTTTTATAGAACCACATTCTTTACAGATAACAATGGAGGACATCCACAAATCGGTGGCGGCGGCCGAGAACGGTGTGGTTTCCAATGGAACCGTCAACGGCGCCATCACTGGTTTGTGCGACAAGCGGCTCAGCCTCTTCGGATATACTATTGAAGCCATCAACATGCTGCTGCTACCTATGATCCAGAACAAGTACGTACCTAATGATGAGGTGCCAAATCGTAAAACTGATGACATGCCAAAGATTTCCGCCTTGCCTCCCACAACCTTTACTGGATCATCGATTCATCAAATGGGAGGCCTGTCTTTAATGTTTTTCTATGTCGGTTACATTGAAAGAAAGAAAGAAGAAGAAAGAAAATATTTTTAGACAAATATCCTTAGACTACTTACAAGATAGTTACTTACATAGTTTAATTTGAACCAAAATGGTAGCCATTTAGCATTGTGTTATGCTCTAGGTTAGGACCTAGAGCATAACGCTGGTATTATGTCGCAGTCATATTTGTTCTTCATACATACATTGGTTCTCCAACGGACTGCTTCATTTCTGCTTCGATAAAGATATTTACACAAACGAAAATCTTGTGTGAATTGGATTTCTATTGTTCAAATTATGATTTCGCGTATTCATAAGGGCTACCTTTTTTTCGTTATCTTTGACGTTCATAAGTGCCAAAATACAGGTCAAAATTTTATAAATATTTTTGATTAGATTTGATCTTATTGGTTGTTGACTACGATGATTTAGTAAATGAATTTGTTTACTCCTTCAAGCTCCGCGAATCTAGACAATAGATAATCAATTGTTATGACATTAATTAATTCCGTCTGGGACTCAATCGGTTAATCGCTTTTAGCAGTTTTTAGTTAGCAGTAATAACTATAAAACTTCTGCAGGAAAGAAGCTCTGGGCAGCATGGGCAACGACGCGCCGCTGGCGTGCCTGTCGCTGTTCCAGCCGCTGCCCTACGAGTACTTCAAGCAGCTGTTCGCGCAGGTCACCAACCCGCCCATCGACCCCTTCAGGTACTCACCTCTATCGTTTCATAGCTTTTGTCAGCCCTTTACTTGAAGTGAGTGTCCTCCTTTATCTCTACTCTCTCCTGATCTCTACTCCTGTAGTTCTCGTGATATTTTTGACATCCGCTTTGTCCATCTTGTTACAGACAAAACGGGCAAAGCGCAAATAGGGTACTATTATGCAGGACTCGTAATGGCGTTTTTAATAAATCAATACCAGAATTATGTGTTTTAGAGAAAACTTTTCTCGTGAATGTCATAAAATGCGATCGAGAAATAAATGTGAAGATCAGGCTTCTCCAATCTGTCTAAAGCCTGGTCCGTGAGCACACTCACTGCGGGCACCCGTCGCACAGTCGCGACAGCAATATAATTACGCGCGAGCGATAAGGATGGGTAGCTTGGGGTCATTGGACAAAATTCTACGTGCTTACGGACCACGCTTTAGCTGGAAAGTTTAGTGGCCTATATCCTTCATTTGCTTCTGGTAATTCAAGAGAGTCGCCTGTAGTGGAGCTTGAATCCCCTCAGAGAAGATATAGTGATGTTAAAATAACATGTTTCTGTGTATTCCAGAGAGAAGATAGTGATGTCTCTTCTGTGCCCCATCGGGCCGGCGCCCAACATCTTAGAACCCAGCGCGGCCTTCGTGCACCGCCTGTTCCTGCCGCAGCCCATCCTGTCGCTGCCCGACCTGCATGCCTTGAAGAACACCAGCCACCGAGGGTGGAAGGTAACTTTGTTATAATAAATAATATGTAAAGTCCGGTCGCCGAGCACGTAGAATTTCGTCCAATGACCCTAAGCTACCCATCCTTATCGCTTGCGCGTAATTATATTGCTGACGCGACTGTGCGACGGGCGGGCGCAGTGAGTGTGCGTCCTACTCGCTAGACCGACGAGAAGCTTTTATCGCGCCATTTTATCGATATTACGCGATAAGCCCATTCATTTGTCGTCATTGATAAGATTTTATCACGGTGGGCATCCTAACCCGGCTGACACGGGAAACTCCTGGATGCAAGCAGCGCAGAACATCACTGAAAATTCTTGGAGAAGGCCGTTGTCCAGCAGTTAAGACGAAATGGTTTCATAATGACTCGTAAACCAACTCCTATTGTTGTATGGCCCGATAACTTTGTGCATGACTGACATGACATGACAGCAGAAGCTGTGGATAGACGGTGGGACGAGGTAGCAAGTAGCAGTTGCAACTATCACCATTCCTCACTACACTACCTGCTGTGACCACCCTTGGAAATCTTGATACTTCGTGCCCGCTACCGTTATAGAGCCACAAGGTCGCCAGACTATAATAATGTTAACCCGTTTTTCCGCAGACCAAAGTAATCGACTGCACGTACGACTACAAAGACGGGCCAACAGGTCTAGAGCCAGCCTTGAGTCAGATCTCTAGTGAGGCACACGCCGCGGCTTCGTCTGGATACCAGCTACTGGTGTTGTCTGACCGTGCCGCCGGGCCAGACCGAGTGCCTGTCAGCTCACTACTCGCTTTAGGTAATGTTAGAGGCCGGTAGATCTATGCCCGTTTTCACCATCAATCTCTAATTTTTAAGTAACCTTTATGGTAACACTTATCAGGCATTGTGTTTTCATAGGGGTCACTTAAAAATTAGGGATTGATGGTGAAAACGGGCTTTTCTCACAAACACAAAGGTAAGGTAGTATACAAAACCCTGTATACTACCTACTACTACCTTTCACATTATATTGCCTCATTTTTAAATACAATTTATCACTTAGCACAAAGCGGGTGTCAATGTCACCATGACAGCAGCTCATTGGATTTAACGATACCGTTATTTTAATATTTTAGATTTTTCACAATTAATTAACAGTAAGTTGTACTTACTTTACAGCTATAGTACTCAATAAAGGACGAAGCATACTTATCAACCCCGAAAACACAAAATATCGTAACCGTATCAACTCGAGGCGGTCAATATTCATTTTATGAAACTCTTAACTGCAACGCACACTTATCCGCACCATAACGTAAACGCGGTTGACAGCGCGGCGAAAGGCGATACAGTGTTGATCCGTTGTATGCTATGATCTTCAGTGATACACTTCCTACACTATAAGGTTTAAAAATACGGATTCTGCTACAGATGGCAGATAGTAAAGTTACGCACAGACTCTACTGGAGGGTGTAAACACACCTAAATCTTGTTAATGCTATTTGCAGGAGCGGTCCACCACCATTTGATTGAAACTCGTCAGAGAATGAAGGTGGGACTCATCGTGGAGACGGCCGAAGCTCGCGAAGTGCACCACATGTCTGTATTGCTAGGTAAGTGTTCTATGGATCCTAAAAGAAACATAAGTGTTTCTTACATAGCAATAGGCTACTAAAAAAAAAACACTTCTACAGGGTGGAAACGATAAGTGATCTCATTCGATTATTTCTAAACTATACAAGATATCGAAAAACTGATTACTAATCCTGAAAGTACTTCACAAGCTCTATCCAAGGGTACCAATATTAGGTTACAGAATTAACTGGATCTATCCGAAAATTTAATGTTCTCAGCCTCCATACTAAATGTATGCCAGCCAAACAATAATAGAAGTATTAAATTTTTTTATTAAATAATAAACACTTAAAACGAACTCGTAAATTGCATTCTTTTTTTAAATTATTCTTGGAAAACATTGGTTTTAGGCTTTACTTGCTACAATATTAACAAGACATGAGTGACATGACTGTGGCTGTACTAAATGTATGGAAGCTGGAAATATTGAATTTTCGAATGAATCCAGTTTATTTTGTAGGTAACCTTTTTTTATTGGTACTGTTGGATAGAGCTCGTGAAGCACTTTCAGGATCAGTTACCAGTTTTTTAATATCTTGTATAGTTTTAGATATTATGTGGTTTTACTAAATGTATGAAAGCTGGAAACATTGAATTTTCGAATAGATCCAGTTTATTCTGTAACCTATTATTGATACCGTTTGAAAGAGTTTGTGAAGCACTTTCAGAATCAGTAATCAGTTTTTTGATATCTTGTATAGTTTAGAAATAATCGAGTGAGATCACTTAACGTTTCCACCCTGTATAGACATTTTGGGAGAGTCATTAATATGCTTCGAGTCAACAAAACGAAAGTTATACGACTTACGCCCGTATTTACAAACGATGCTTGCTTATTTGAAGCAACAAATCGAACGCACAGCGTTGAATAGAGCTCTGTGATTGGTTCGTATGTCACTTTGTGCGTCCACGCGCACTGTAAGACATCATAGTAATGTTTATAAATACGGGCGTTAAATAAACTCCATTCATAAAATATTATTAGGGAAAGCTGTTTATAACATAGTAAATATTCAACAATGAAATCGTCAACATGTACCTTACGCATTATTCTTTCAGGCTACGGCGCAGACGCCATCTGCCCCTACCTAGCCTTCGAGCTAGCTTTCGCATTACGCAATGACAATATAATCGACCCTACCCTCACCGATGATGACATCTACAAGGCCTATCAGAAGGCCATCGAGACTGGCCTAGCTAAAGTCATGGCCAAGATGGGAATCAGTACGCTTCAGTCGTACAGGAGCGCACAGATATTTGAAGCTGTGGGCTTGAATGAGGAGGTCGTAGACAAGTGCTTCAGAGGAACTCAGTCTAGGATTGGTAAGTTATTTGTATATTATAATGTGATAGCATCTACAAGGCCTACCAGATGGCCATCGAGACTGGCTTAGCTAAGGTCATGGCTAAGATGGAAATCAGTACGCTTCAGTCGTACAGGAGCGCGCAGATATTTGAAGCTGTGGGCTTGAATGAAGAGGTCGTGGACAACTGCTTCAGAGGAACACAGTCTAGGATTGGTAAGTTATTTGTATATTATAATGTGAGACATCTAAAAGGCCTACCAGAAGGCCATCGAGACTCTGCTCGCTAAGGTCATGGCCAAGATGGGAATCAGTACGCTACAGTCGTACAGGAGCGCGCAGATATTTGAGGCTGTGGGATTGAATGAGGAGGTTGTTGACAAGTGCTTCAGAGGAACTCAGTCTAGGATTGGTGAGTTATTTATATATTATAATGTAATGACAATATCTACAAGGCCTACCAGAAGGCCATCGAGACTGGCCTCTCTAAGGTCATGGCCAAGATGGGAATCAGTACACTACAGTCGTACAGAAGCGCCCAGATATTTGAGGCTGTGGGCTTGAACGAAGAGGTCGTGGATAAGTGCTTGAGAGGAACACAGTCTAGGATTGGTAAGTTATTTGATTATTATTAACAATAGCACTGAGACTTCCTCCATGGATTTTGAACTTCACATCTTAAAAGATAAAGCTCAAAATCAATTGTGAAAGTTTAAAAAAGTAGGCACTAGAATACCACTTTTTCTTTTGTTTGCAGGTGGCGTCAACTTTGAAATCCTATCCAAAGAGATTTTCGATAGACACGCGCTGACATACGGACCGTTCACAGATGCATTAGTTCTCAGGTATGTTCTAAATGATGGTAATTTGAATTAAGTAAATAACCAAGTATATGGGTACCTTAATTTGTTGATTATTTATTGTCAATTTATTTAAAACGATTAATTATATTTTCTTCTTTTATGTCCAACAATTTAGGACATAAGGCGGTTATCATACTGCGCCGCGCTCCCGCGCGCGCGGACGCGTTGTCAGTGTGTTGTGCCGCGCGTGTTTTCTATAGAAACTGAGGCTGAGGTACTAGCATACAATAATTAAATCTGTCGCCCCGGCTCCGCGGCGGAGCGCGGCGCAGTGTGATAACCGCCTAAGAACTTCGAAATCAGACTTTGAGTTGCCAAAAACATTTTGTAAGCAGTTTTTATATAATTTTTTTTTTCAGGAACCCAGGAGTGTATCACTGGCGCGCGGGAGGCGAGAAGCACATAAACGACCCTCTGTCCATCGCCAACTTGCAAGAAGCCGCCGTCAACAAGAGCTCGTCGGCTTACGACAAATACAGGTTAGTTACTTCACCGAATATAACTCATTATAAGACTCATTATAATGTGTTTTTGGTTCATAGCGCCATTTTACAGAGTGCATGGAGGAGCAAACTTAAAGCTTTCCTGGAAAAAGTACAATTTTACTTATAGTGACAGTCATAAGATCAATGAGAGAAATATTCATGCAACTTTTGTATTATAATTACGCTGGTTTTACGGTTTCAAGCTTAGCAATGTAATATGTATTACATCTTGTTTAAAACGAACCATATAAATTGCTCATTGTCCTAACTAAATAATAATATCATGTTGGTTGTCTACAGGGAGAGCTCACTGGAATCCATCCGTGCTTGCACGTTACGAGGTCAGTTAGACCTCGTACGCTTGGATGAACCCATCCCACTAAGCGAGGTCGAGCCCGCCTCGGAGATCGTGAAACGATTCGCTACAGGTAAGCATTGCATTCTTTTTTTTACGTCGGGTGACGAGTCGTGTGGGACTCCCCGCGCATTATCTATAAAATAATAATAATAATAATATAATAAATAATAATATAGTAAAAATAAAGAAAACGTAATAATAAATAATAAATAAATATCCTTAGACATTTTACACTGCGCTTCTAGTCCCAAACTATCTATAAAATGTGGTGCCTACGCACTAAAACTTGACGGTGTCCACCGGAGCTCAATGACATGGAACCGCGATTTATTGTCCCAACTTGGATATTCGTCCGCAGCTCCGTCTCAGGCTATGGCTCGAGCCTCTGGCTTTGAGGCGACCCTCAATCTCTTTCTACATTTTGTTTTATAGTTTTTCTCCTCGTGGTCCTGGTAGAACAGAAGGATCCTGCCTGACCCGCCTTGGCTGGTTACGATTTGCTCTACGCCGCTGCTCAGTCTGTATACTGGAAACATTGAATTTTCGGATAGAACCAGTTAATTTTGTAAACTATTATTGATACCGTTTGATAGAGTTCGTGAAGCACTTTCAGGATCAGTAACCAGTTTTTCGATATCTTTTATAGCTTAGAAATAATCTAGTGAGATCACAGCTTAGTGCAGCAGCCGCTAGATAAACAGACTGTAATTTTTTTGTTGGCTAATAAAATACTTTTACTTTTTACTTTAACTATCGTTCCCACCCTATATGTTAAGTGATGTGTAGTTGTAATTTATTTGTATCTGTGTTCCCCAGGCGCAATGTCATTCGGCTCGATCTCGCTGGAAGCTCACACGACGCTTGCGGTGGCCATGAACCGCATCGGCGGCAAATCCAACACCGGCGAGGGCGGCGAGAACGCGGACCGCTACCTCAACCAGGTCAGTACGTTGTAGATATCTTGGAGTAAAATTTGCACTGAATAGACATTCTGAAAAGACAATTTTGTTTTATTTTACTTTGTTTGATTCAGAAAACAAACAGCTTAATTAATTGTACAATATGACTATGGTAAATAGTGAATTGAGTTAGCGAAATAGTGATTTCATTGATCTGAGAATCGCATTTTAACAGACCATTAAAAGGATGTCAATTGACTTAACATCACAACCACCTATAATGATAAATTTACTTTATTGTGAACTAACGGCCGCTCGCGACTTCGTACGCGTGGATCCCGTTTTACCCCCTTAGGGGTGGAGTTTCGTAAAATCCTTTCTTAGCAGATACCTACGTCATATCATCTACCTGCATGCCAAATTTTAGCCCGATCCGTCCAGTGGTTTGGCCTGTGCGTTGATGAATTACTATGTCAGTCAGTCAGTCACTAAACATAGCAAATACATGGCTATTGCAACTATGTACTTATTTTTTTTGTCGTAGTTACGTACTTGTTTCGGTGACCTTTTCGGTAGAAAGGCCATTGCGTAATGCGTATGCTCATTCAACATTTTTATAGAGCGTCGCCGTAAATATCCAGAAGACAATGGCAATGACCTTAAAACACTGTGTAACCCCTGAAAATATGTCTTTTATTAACATGACCATTGACCATGTTATCTGATTTTTAATACCATGTTTTCATCCCCAGGACCCGGACTACAACAAGCGCTCGGCCATCAAGCAGGTGGCGTCGGGCCGCTTCGGCGTGACGGCGTCGTACCTGGCGCACGCCGACGACCTGCAGATCAAGATGGCGCAGGGCGCCAAGCCCGGCGAGGGCGGCGAGCTGCCAGGTACTTCTTCTTCTTCTCGTGTCGACAACAAACCTACACAGTGTCAGCCCAAAACTCCGCCACAAGAGTGGCGTTGTCAGTAGCACTCATCAAATCCTCCTGAGTGCAGTTGCTTGGCCACTCAGGGCATGACATCAGGTGCTTCATCGACTGGGGAACAAAACCGCACCTGCACTCCATGTTTAAGCCATCCAAGAATCCCCACCTGACCAGATTGTCCTTACTACGGCCAACCTGCGTCCGAAGTCTATTTAAAGACTTCCAGGTAAGCCAGGGGAGCTCATGTCCAGGCGGAGGACTCTCAGACATAGGGACAAAAGGGCAGGGGAGATCAGCTCTCTCGCGCCATAACCTGCATCTCTCTTTTGACCGATCGTCATGAAGGAGAGGGGACACACTTTTTACGAAATTGCTTCGGCTTTTTAGCCTTTGAGGCACAGGCTCGTAATTGAAATTGAAAAGTGCCAGGTACTGATACTGCCAAAAACTAGTCAAAAGTGGTTTCAAAATATACAGTAACTAGTGGCCGCCCGCGACTTCGTACGCGCGGATACCATTTTATCCCTTTAGGGGTGGAGTTTCGTAAAATCCTTTCTTAGCGGATGCCTACGTCATAATATGCCTGAAGGATGCCTGCATGCCAAATTTCAGCCCTATCCGTCCAGTGGTTTGGGCTGTGCGTTGATAGATCACTATGTTACACAGTTACCTTTAAGTCACTTCGTCTGCTCGTTTGCCTCCTGTCACATAAAAAAAATCACATAAACGTTACACTTTAAAATGGTTTTATAGCACATTTTTGATGATTCCCAATTATCGAATATCGGCGAAAGTGGTTTTGACTAAGGCCCTTGGTATAAATAGAATAATCAGTCAAAAGTAATATTGACCGAGGCCATCAGTTAAAAAAACCACTTCTGACAGACTTTTGCAGTCAAAAATGGTTTTGACCAAATACGAGTTTCGACTGTAACATACATGTAGTACATCGCTTCCAGGGTAAATACCCTGACGGGCCCGGCCCAGTCAATTGTGGGTTTGAGTGCTGGGTTTTTTGAGTTTGAGCGTTGGTAAACTGGTACCTCCAAGACAGTAGCATTCCCCTATCGAGAAATTAATGTAGCTTGTACTAACTTCCTGTTTTTCGTTCTCAGGTTACAAAGTGACAGAAGACATAGCGAAGACCCGTTGCTCAGTGCCCGGCGTAGGGTTGATCTCGCCGCCACCTCACCACGACATCTACTCCATTGAAGACTTGGCTGAACTGATCTATGATCTCAAGTGCGCCAACCCTAACGCCCGTATCTCTGTGAAACTCGTGTCTGAAGTTGGTGTGGGGGTAGTAGCTTCTGGTGTCGCTAAGGTTAGTTACATTTATATTAAAGTGAAGCAAAAAAAGTTACTGAAAAATATGTTTATGATTTTAGAATAACAGTCTGCCCTAATATAAGCGTATGCTTGTAGACTTGCAGAGCCACTGTTTCCAAGGTACTCTACGTAGGTGAATTCGAAGATAAAAAGATTCAAAATAAAATTAGTTTTTAGTGTAAAAGTATTTTAAATTTCCGTTATCCTCTCCAGCTAGCCTAAGTTATTATGCTTGTTAGAAGCGGGTCCTCCAAAATAATCCAGCGGAGTGCGGACTACTGACTTTTAAATCAGCCTTTGGATACTTAAAATTTTAGGTTACTTGACTTACATCTGGTTGTAACTGCCTACATCTTTAATATCCAATATGATCTGAATCTATTTTGTCGTTTCACTGAATACTTTTTCCAAGTATCAGGGGAAAGTATGCTGGTCTCGGATCACGAAGGCAGCTCGTTAGATTACTACATCAACTCTAAACGCCTTGCTCATTAAATCCATTGTCCCTTGTACCAGGGCAAAGCGGAGCACATCGTGATCTCCGGCCACGACGGCGGCACGGGCGCGAGCTCGTGGACGGGCATCAAGTCGGCCGGCCTGCCGTGGGAGCTGGGCGTGGCCGAGACGCACCAGGTGCTGGTGCTCAACGACCTGCGCTCCAGGTCAGTGGACACAGGACACAGCCGAGCACACCGTGGTCTCCGGCCACGACGGCGGCACGGGCGCGAGCTCGTGGACGGGCATCAAGTCGGCCGGCCTGCCGTGGGAGCTGGGCGTGGCCGAGACGCACCAGGTGCTGGTGCTCAACGACCTGCGCTCCAGGTCAGTGGACACAGGACACAGCCGAGCACACCGTGGTCTCCGGCCACGACGGCGGCACGGGCGCGAGCTCGTGGACGGGCATCAAGTCGGCCGGCCTGCCGTGGGAGCTGGGCGTGGCCGAGACGCACCAGGTGCTGGTGCTCAACGACCTGCGCTCCAGGTCAGTGGACACAGGACACAGCCGAGCACACCGTGGTCTCCGGCCACGACGGCGGCACGGGCGCGAGCTCGTGGACGGGCATCAAGTCGGCCGGCCTGCCGTGGGAGCTGGGCGTGGCCGAGACGCACCAGGTGCTGGTGCTCAACGACCTGCGCTCCAGGTCAGTGGACACAGGACACAGCCGAGCACACCGTGGTCTCCGGCCACGACGGCGGCACGGGCGCGAGCTCGTGGACGGGCATCAAGTCGGCCGGCCTGCCGTGGGAGCTGGGCGTGGCCGAGACGCACCAGGTGCTGGTGCTCAACGACCTGCGCTCCAGGTCAGTGGACACAGGACACAGCCGAGCACACCGTGGTCTCCGGCCACGACGGCGGCACGGGCGCGAGCTCGTGGACGGGCATCAAGTCGGCCGGCCTGCCGTGGGAGCTGGGCGTGGCCGAGACGCACCAGGTGCTGGTGCTCAACGACCTGCGCTCCAGGTCAGTGGACATAATGAGGGCTATCGTTTTAGCGCTCACCAGTTAGCGCCACTGTAGAGTAAGGTCCCGTCACTTGCTAGTAGCGAAGACAGTGGCGCCAACTTGTGAGCGCTAAAGTGGTAGGACTATCGCATTTGCACTCATCAAGATGGCGCCACTGTAGAGTAAGGTCCTGTCAATCGCCAGGGGTGCCAACTGTTAAGTATAAAAACGATAGCCCTCATTAGCTTGTTTAATTATCACTGCCCTCTATTTAGGCATTCTCCACACTGTGCACTGGCGTCTTTCAAACATCGTCGTCTCGCTAGAGTCGCCGTGCTGCGAAGCTGCTCAGTGTTAGCAGCAGCTGCCGAACTGTCGAGCGTTCGACAGCCACCCACGACCCATTCATAGCGTCGTCTCTAGTTTGGGGGATCCCTTACCGGAGAATTTGGTCTACAACTTCTCATGTCACGTTGGCCAAACAGTTTTATCCCTTTGTCTCCTCTTACGGAAAGAGCGAAAGTGGTCCTGCCGTGGGTGCTGGGCGTGGCCGAGACGTACCAGGTGTCGGTGCTCAACGACCAGGTCAGTGGACAATTTAGACTAAGCTCTCGTTGTACAAAAACTTAAGGCGAATCGTGATATCAGACCACAACGAAGCGGCACGGATGCCAGCTGCCAGTGGCCGAGATCCACCAAGTGTTAGTGCTCAACGACCTCCAATCCAGGTCAGTAGACATTTTCAGCTCATTTAATCTCAACTGCAGGAGAAGTACCCTCGTTCGTTCGTTCGTTTCAGCCGAAAGACGTCCACTGCTGGACAAAGGCCTCCCCCAAGAATTTCCCCAAAGACCGGTCCTGCGCCGCTTGCATCCAGGTGCTTGAGGAGATCCGTAGGAGAACCAGAGTGACTGACATAGCCCGCAGAATCGCTAAAATCAAGTGGCAGTGGGCGGGGCACATAGCTCGAAGAGCTGATGGCCGCTGGGGCAGGAAAGTTCTTGAGTGGCGACCACGAGCTGGAAGACGTAGCGTGGGCAGGCCTCCCACTAGGTGGACCGACGATCTGGTGAAGGTCGCGGGAAGTACCTGGATGCAAGAAGTACCCTAATCAGAGGCAATAGCATTTGGTCTAAACTCCCAACGCTGAGAACGCACGCACGTTGAAAAGCGTGATGTTTGCATATTTGTCTCTAAATCACCTTTTACTACGTGCTTGGGTACGGGTACGTTGTTTTATTCCACTTCGCCGGAACCAAACAGTAGTGATGTACAATTTTCATCATATCGGACAATGGCCAATCTGCAGTTGCATGTAATCTTCTTCCAGCGAACGTAACGTTTCGTGCGTCTTAAAAATATGTTTGCCTTTCAGAGTGGTGGTCCAGGCTGACGGTCAAATCCGAACCGGTTTCGACGTCATGGTCGCTGCGCTCCTCGGTGCCGATGAGTTCGGCTTCAGTACAGCACCCCTCATTGCTTTAGGTAAAGTATTTTAGTATATTGATCTGAATAAATATCCTAAATCTCTGGATGTTATATGTATTTCCACCACTAGATGATTTCTAACGCTTTCAATGACCTTTTTTTTAACATCGGAAAATGCTTTGCGCATACCCACTGGTTGATGGGGACAGCCAGTGATGTGGGACTCCTTATCAAGTTATTTGGACTTTTTACGAATCTGTCATTGTATTCGTTCACATTTTCGCATTTTTCTAGGCATTCAAAACTATTTTGCTGCTCGAACTAAAACCTTTCAGGGTTTTGGAGTTAGATGGGTGCTGGAGATAGCTTCTGTCGACATCTTTCAAGTTTCACTCTAATATTGTCTCCGTTTGGTGTAGTGGTCCGAATCGGACTACTATTCCGGAGGTTGCGGGTTCGATTCCCGCACAGTACAAACATTTGTGTGCATGAACATATTTGTTTGTATTGGACTGGGTGTTTTCTATGTATAATATGTATGTATTTACAAAAAAAAAAGTATTTAAGTATGTTTATATCCGTTGTCTAGTACCCATAGTACAAGCTTTGCTTAGTTTGGGGCTAGCGGCGTAGTGTGGAATGTCAAAAAAAAAAATTCAATGTGCTTTTTACCATTCGGTGATCTTCCTATTTTAAACGAGTTGATCACAGACACATCATTGAATATACTATGCTTCTTCGTCGACAAAATGAAGTCTTTCTCATTGTTTGTAACACTAAGGGCTATATTTCACCGGGACACCATGGCGGCACAACCAGTAGCCGCTACCAACAAAATGTATACAGCTTTGCGCAACCAAACGGACACCAGCTGATTAACTCTCTATAGAGCTGTATACATTTTGTTGTTAGCCGGCGACTGGTTGCGCCGCCATGGTGTCCCGGTGAAGTATAGCCCTAATAGGATGCAGCCATGTCCACATAAAGTGAAAAATGAATAAATAAAGTGGTCGTTTCCGGTAGGTTGCACGATGATGCGCAAGTGCCACCTCAACACGTGTCCGGTGGGCATCGCGACACAAGACCCGGTGCTGCGCAAGAAGTTTGCCGGCAAGCCTGAGCACGTCGTCAACTACCTCTTCATGCTCGCCGAGGAGGTGAGGCTTACTTCTTTGATGATTTAGCTTGATTTAGGTACCTCTTCATACTGGCAGAGGAGGTAAGGGTTACGTCTTTGATAATTTAGGTACCTCTTCATACTGGCTGAGGAGGTAAGGGTTACTTCTTTGATGATTTAGCTTGATTTAGGTACCTCTTCATACTGGCCGAGGAGGTAATTTGATTTTCTTTAATGATTTAGAGTAGCGGGCGGGGAATTCCCAACTAATATTATAAATGCGAAAGTAACTCTGTCTGTCTGTCTGTCTGTCTGTCTGTCTGTACGTCTGTTACGCTTTCCCGCTTAAACCTCGCAACCGATTTTGATGAAATTTGCCATAGAGATAGTTTGAGTCCCGGCAAAGAACATAGGATAGTTTTTATCCCGGTTTTTGAAACAGGGACGCGCGCGAAAAAGTTTTTCTGTGACAGACAAAATTCCACGCGGGCGAAGCCGCGGGCGGAAAGCTAGTAAAATTATATTTCTGATGATAATCTTCTTAGGCCTTGTCCAGGAGGGCCAATTCTACGCGCGTAGAATCCATACGCGCATTGGCGAGATACTTGGAGCCAATACATTCCGTCCACAAGACACGCGCGAGTTGAAAATTCGCGCGTAATTTCTCGTCATACAATACGCTCATGTTCGTACGGCAAATTCGCCCACCTAGACAAGGCCTTAGATTAAATATGAGGAAACGATTTTTTATGAGTGGGGATCTGTAAGTGTTATTTAACTGATGTATTTTATCATATCTTTTAGTATCTAGCTTTCTAATAATGTAACGATGCATGTAAATTGATATGTTGTTGTATACATTGTTGGTAAGTTTTTAACAATAAATAAACTAATGTATTTTTGTAAACATTGATTATGTGGGTATTTCTCATCAAATTGCGAAATTTGATTCCCGAGCCATTAGTGCCGAGTCACATGCATTAAATTACATAAGTCTTTTTTTTATTTGAATGTACGCTGTCGATACCACTATTGCATAAAAAGAAAACGTATTACCTCTAAAGAAAAAAAAGATATGGCTACTTTATTACCGTGAAAATCATTCCCTCACCTTGTCCCTTAGTCCAAAATTATTACTAAAATGCCTATTAACTTGAAATATATCAATATTTTTAATAATAAAATTATGCAAATATGTAAGAAAGATGTTTGTTATTGTCCATAAAAGCTTTCATCTTACAACAACAAATTTATAAAAACAATGATTCGATTTTAAATGTGTCCCGCCAAATAAAATCATTCCCTCATCCTATTACGAATATTCGATTTCTGAATGTGTCAAACGATATTTAGTAACGCAACTTTAAGTTTTTAGTACCTGGATACACTCTCAAATGATTCAAGATGGCAATTTCTTCTCAACAGTAGGTTAGTTCGTGTAAAAAAATATTTTGCGTAAAATTGTTAAAAGTTAAATTTATGACGATCATTACCTCACGTTACATTAATGTATTAAGCATTTTAATATTTATCATTAAAATTTGTTGGTTTTATGCGTTTTTGGGAGTAAAATACATATTAAAAATGTAACAAGCAAATTGAGGTTATGTGTCGGTGTTTTTGTAGCTTAAGTTAAAATTCGTCATTCCCTCACAGTCATTCCCTCACTTCTAAGTGCAGTGAGGGAATGACGGTCGTGTGAGGGAATGATTTATCCAGTAATCTGCGGTTTTTTAGATTGTTTAGACACCGTTGATTTTTAGTCGGCCGATAGTTTAGTTGGGTTGGGCTCTCAGTGCTCACACTGATTCAACTAAACAGTTGAATCGGGCGTGGGTGCGCAGACCGCCGATTTAAAATCGGGCCGATTGCTTCATTCGATAGAGAGCTGTTGAAGAGATCAGTCGCGTAGAATGTTTCCCAGAAATATTATAATTTTTTCTATACCAAATTAACTCATGCCTGCGGCTTCAACTGCTCGAAATTCAGATTGTTACATAAAAGATAAAAGTTTAATAAAAATCATCTCAAATTTATACATCATGAAAAGGAAATTGACCTCCTTCTTCTCGAAATTGGACCTACCTAGCTGAATCGTTTGTCCGAGGTAGACATACTTGTCAACAATCTCAAGAATCGAGCGCAACATGGACGTTCGACATAAGCTTCGTTTTGTCCGTGTTCATCCTGTGATGACTCGGAAACGTGGCCTCTCACTATAGACCCTATACAGAAGCTCAAAGTTGCACAGCGTACTATGGAGAGGGCTATGCTCGGTGTTTCTTTACGAGATCGAATCAGAAATGAGGAGATCCGTAAACGAACTAAAGTCGCTGACATAGCCCGACGGATTAGCAAGCTGAAGTGGCAGTGGGCAGGGCACATAGTACGCAGAACTGACGGCATGAGGCAACATGGTTCTGGAATGGAGGCCGCGTACCGGAAAACGCAGCGTGGGACGTCCACCCATAAGGTGGACCGACGACCTGATAAAGGTAGCAGGAAGGCACTGGATGCAGGCCGGGACCAACCGTGCGATGTGGAAGTCATTGGATTATGTTCAGCAGTGGACGTCCTTGTGGCTGAAATGATGATGATGAAAGGGAAATGATCATGAAAAAGTGAAATCGAGAGTAATAACTAGTTAAATCAATTAATTAGTAATAATAACCTTTCCCGCCAAAAACGAGGAGCAAACTGAAGCTATCGGCCGAGTTGGACGACGAAAAATCGGCCAGTCTGCGCGCGCGTAGAGGAGCGCCGTCTGATCAAGCTATCGACCGATAGTTGGACGATACTTTAGTTGGAAGGCAGTTGGGAATCGTATTCAACTATTTAGTCGGCCAAATCAAATCGGCGTAATGTGCGAACTTCTATACATGCCCATACTGATTAACTGCCCGACTAAACTATCGGCCGACGAAAAATCGATGGTCTGCGCCTAGGCTTATTTATTTCATGTAACTTGTATTTCCTGGTATTTAATTTAAAAGAGGTGCATGTATGTGGAAGCAAAATAGCACGACAAAAGAAGTTGAGTGATGCAAAAAAATAAATAAAAAAGAAAGAGTACGATAGAAAAAGGCGAGAAAAATGAAAAATAATACTGAATCTTTGAAAAAACTGCGGGAAAAAGAAAGATTAAAATATTTAAAGGAAAAAGCGAAAGTTCAAGTAAAAACTTAGACTAGTGAATACCCGAAATACTTGTCAAAACTTAAAGCATGCCAATATGCCATTTGTACATGTTGTTTTTTACTATAATATAATAATAAATCATTCCCTCACTCTGTTAAACATTCCCTCATTTATTAATTTTTTTAATCCTCATTTTTTATAGGTAATATAAAAAAATATGGAAGACCAATACCCCTGGACAGATCTTTAAAAGTAACTTTTCTGATCTCTGCAAAAAATATCTAAGTTTATGTAAAAAAAAAGAAATTTAAAAAAAATCTCAAATTTTGAGATTTCATAAGAAATACCCATGTATTATGTATATACTTTGTTAATATTTTATGGTAAGTGGGCGTGTACCTACAATATTTCTGTTCAACTATAAAGAAAATAGTCAAATTTTTAGCCCAAAGAAATCCCGATAAGTCAATCTTACGTTGGTGCTGAGCGAAGCGGCGTTGTGAAGAGTCTTCTTCTACTTTTTTCCACTTCGTCTCTCTCACTCAGTGCTACTTATTGTACGAAAACGCCATACATATCTTATCCGCTTTGCTCAAATTGAGCTCAATTTCCACTTAAATTGAGCAGAGAGTTCTATTGGTAGTTGTGTCGTTTCCTTTAGTCTTTGTCCCGCCTTGGTAGAAACCAGCCCTCAGGCATTACAATTTTTTTCTTATTTTCTTCCAACAGGTCCGCGAGCACATGGCGGCGGTAGGCGTGCGTCGCTTCCAGGAACTGATCGGGCGCACCGACCTGCTCAAGGTCCGGGAAAACAACACTAATCCCAAGGCGCGACTGCTCAACCTCTCGCTTATTCTCAAGAACGCGCTGCACATGCGGCCTGGTGTTAACATCCACGGCGGATCCAAGGCACAGGTCGGTTGTATGCTGGTTTCTTCTTTATTATCTTGCTTAATGTTGAAACTCATCAATATCTTAAGGCTGTCTATTTGAATTTCCACTTAGCTCTGTATAAATGAAGTGTACATTGTATAAATGACTGAATCACTGAAGAATCAAAATTAGACAAATTTATTAACTCGTTGACGTCATGGAAACAAGAAACAGACAGCAAACTGGCCGGTATACTCGACTCTGTGAACGACATTAAGCGACAAAACGCTGAACTTCTCGCTTCTAACGCCGAAATTGAAAAATCAATTGATTTCTTATCACAAAAATATGACGATTTAAGCTCTCAGTTCAATACCTACCAGGCCAAAACAAAGGCTTTCGACGGCCGGCTGTCGGGTGTGGAGGACAGAACTGAAGAGATCGAGCGTTTCTCACGAGCTAGCTCGTTAGAAATCCGTAACCTCCCGCTTAAGAGGTCCCTTCCACAAGACGACCTCCTCCGTGTCTCCACCCGTATCTTTACTGAACTGTCCGTGGAAGTTTTACAATCTGATGTCTACGACATTCGCTGCCTTCCCGCCAAGCAAGATAGCAAAACCATCCTCATCACGCTTAACTCGGTCATCCTGAAAAACCGACTATTGAAAGCCTTCAGACACTATAACCGATCTGGCTCAGGAAAAGGGCTGAACTCATCCGTTCTAGGACCCGAATTTCCGCTACAAAACATCTTCATTTCGGAAAACCTTACCGCCCATGCCCGCAGACTTTTTTACTTGGGCCGTGAGTTTGCCAAGGCGGAGAATTACCAACACTGCTGGACGGCAAATGGAAAAGTCCTCCTGCGCAAAGAAGATAATGCCAAATTTATAGTCCTCTCTAATGAAGCCCAATTAACTGAACTCAGGTCAAAAAACTAACTTTAGACGTCTGCTACTTTATAATTGTTTCTGCCTTACTCGCTATTATTTGTGTTTATTATCACAAATTTTGTTTCATATTTACAATATTAAGTTTCAATAAAACCTGTATACTCAACAACACACTTCTCATCCTCAACTCACAATACTCACCTCAACTCACTTTTCTAACCCGCTGCCCTACACTACTTACTTATTCGATTAGCATATCGCATCCTCTTTCATACACTCGACTACTTCCACTAGTAAAAAATATCGACCTTTATTTGTTTACCAGTTCTGAACCAATCATAAATAGCTCACACGTTAATTACTTATCTAAAAACAAAAAAACAATATATAACCAAAGCGATGTAACGATTACTTTTTGCTATTTGAGCTTATATACATATTTTTATTATATAAATAATACACTAAAGACTCCACAACGTGTGGCCCCGATCCTCGTAACTGCACCTATTATTCTTAACATTAAAATTCAACGGTCAAAATGACTTAATTAACAACATCGATAGTGTTTCTGTTTGTACTGCCTCAACTTGCGACTCCACACAAGTTCACACTTATTTCCCTAAAAACTCATCAAATAAGAAGACGCTCAAAATACTATCCCAAAACATACGTAGCATATCAGCCAACATAAATAGTTTTTACACATTACTTAGTAACCTAGATATTGATTTGGATTTCATTATATTAACTGAGTGCTGGCTTTTAAGTAATCCCCCTATTCCTAACCTCGATGGTTTCTCGTTCTACTCCTCTTCGAACCCTGTAAACCAAAACGATGGTGTTATTGTCTACTACAATAATGTAATACCTCGAGTCACAATATCGGAGCCCAACATAGCAGATGCCAGCTGTCTTTTAATTACTATAAACGACGAAACGGCGATTTTAGCTATCTACCGTCCGTGTGCATTCCGAAGCGCCCAAAATTTTATACTTTCCCTAGACCCGATTTTACTGCCACTTAAATCATATAAAAATATAATTGTCATGGGCGATATTAACATCAACTTGATCTCATCACCCAAGTCAGACCCAGACTCTGAGGATTACCTTAACGCACTTGCCTTTCACGGTCTCCTTCCAGGTCACACCTTACCGACCCGCAGTTCTGCCTGTCTTGATCATGCCATTCTCAAAACTTCGTCACCTGCCCAGTGTTTGGTTATCCAGTCCACTGTAACTGATCATGATGCAGTCCTTCTCGCTATTCAGTCCAAAATCGGAAACCCTGGCACCATCAAAATTAAAAAAGTTAATTACCCTGAAACTTGTGAATCTATAAAAAACATTGATTTTTCGCCCATTCTTCAGCTTTCTGACCCTAATATTGCTACTAATCTCCTAATATCCAAACTTCAAATTGCTATTGCACAGCACACTCGAGCTCTTACTGTCCCTCGACGTCGTAGAATCCTTAAACCCTGGATCACCCCAGGTCTATTGAGGTGTATCCAAAACAGGGATAACATGCACAAAAGACTCAGAAATGAGCCTAACAATGAAATCCTTCGTAAGACCTATATTCGCTACCGTAACTTTTGTAACTCTTTACTTAAAAAAATCAAAATTGCACATGACAGGAATCTCATTGTTAAGGCGGGTTCTAATAACAAAAGACTATGGAACGCCATCAAAGAAGTTTCTAATATCAAAAAAATAAACTCAAGTTCTACCGACCTCCTTTCTTGTATGCCCACTCCAAATCAAGCTGTTGAGCACGTTAACTCTTTCTTCGCAGGCATTGGTAGGTCCCTCGCCGAAGAAATTCTCTCAAATAATTCCGGTCCTCCCTCCTCTTCTCCTACACCTCCTGTTTCTTCTTCGTCTTCTGCCTGTCAATCTTTCGTTCTCCTGAGTGCCTCTACCGCAGAGGTTGAAACCCTTCTATTATCCCTCAGGGAGGAGTGCGCAGTTGGTTGGGATAATATCCCTACCACCCTCTTGAGGCGCTGTAAAGACCAGCTAGTCCCTCCTATTGCACACATCTGCAACCTCTGTCTTTCCTTAGGTTGCTTTCCGGATGCTTTTAAAAAGGCACTAGTTCACCCAATCTACAAGTCTGGGGATCGAAACCGTGTCAATAACTACCGTCCTATATCGGTTCTGCCAGCCTTGTCGAAAATCTTAGAGCGGTTAATAAACAATAGACTGATCAAATTCATTGAGGAGCGGGATTTCTTGTCTCCTGGTCAACACGGCTTTAGACAGGGTAAATCTACAGCTGATGCGGTTCATGAACTTACCGACCACGTCTCTAGAAATCTGGACAGGGGCAAGAAATGTCTTTCGATCTTCCTAGACCTGGCCAAGGCTTTTGACACGGTTTCCATCCCCATCCTGCTGGCCAAATTGGAGGCGATAGGTGTTAGAGGCAACCAGCTTTCTCTATTCCGCAGTTACTTTACAGGTCGCTCTCAGTCGGTCGTAATAGACGGAAATGTGAGTTCTGAGGTCCCTATAGAGTACGGTGTTCCCCAGGGAAGCATTCTCGGCCCCACGCTTTTCCTGGTGTACATCAACGATCTCTGCTCCCTTCCCATCCCAAACTGTAAAATTATTTCCTTTGCCGNTGGTTGGTAGCGACCTGCGTCCAGCGCCTTCCTGCTACCTTTATGATGTTATCGGTCCACCTTGTAGGTGGACGTCCCACGCTGCGTTTTCCGGTACGCGACCTCCACTCCAAATTCAAATTATTTATTGCATGTCACCCCAGAACCTTGCTGCCCCATCGGCCGTCAGTTCTGCGTACTATGTGCCCTGCTGCCCATTGCCACTTCAGCTTGCTAATCCGTCGGGCTATGTCAGCGACTTTAGTTCGTTTACGGATCTCCTCATTTCTGATTCGATCTCGTAAAGAAACACCGAGCATAGCCCTCTCCATAGCACGCTGTGCAATTTGAGCTTCTGTATAAGGCCTATAGTGAGAGGCCACGTTTCCGAACCATAAGTCATCACTGGTAACACACATTGGCTGTAGACCTTAGTCTTCAGGCACTGAGGTGTTTTGGCAGAAAAGATTTTGCGTCGTTTCCCAAAAGCTGCCCAGCCGAGTTGGATTCGACGATTGACCTCTATCTCGAAATTGGACCTACCCAGCTGAATCGTTTGTCCGAGGTAGACATACTTGTCAACAATCTCGAGAATTGAGCTCCCAACCGAAACTGGGTAGGGCGCAACATGGACATTGGACAGAAGCTTTGTTTTCTCCATATTCATCCGCAGGCCAAGTGTAAGTAGAGATCTTCAACCTCACCCATCAAATTCTCCCAACGGATCCGATTTGCTTACATTAATTCATCTCGAAATGTTATTGTATGAGAATGGGGGTGATTGTGGAGAAATCCTTAAAAGAGTTCTAAACAGGTTGTTGGCTCTACCGTCAACCATTTAGCTGGGTTGATGATGGAGTCAAGAGGTGACCATAGGAACTCTTAAACGAAACGGCGGAATCGCATCGAACTTGGGTTCGTTTGATTTGTCTTTTCGAGCACTTTAGTGCTAGATGATGCCCAGGGTCCTGATGATGGATTCTGGAGGTGGCCATAGGAACTACTAAACGAAACGGTGGAAACTCATCGAATTTGGGTTTGTTGGATTTGTCTTTTCAAGCACTTAAGTGTTAGATGATGTTCAGGGTCCTGATGATCAAGTCAGGAGGTGGCCATAAGACTCCTAACCGAAACGGCAGAAACTTATAGAGTTTGAGTTCGTTGGATTCGTCTTCCCGAGCACTTTGGTCGTAAGTAATGACCAGGGCCCTGAGATTGAAATGCAACTTAAAAGTGTAAAATAAAATTATAATAAAAAAATGAGCTCCCCTGGCCTAACTGGAAATCTTTATAGACTTCGGACAGGTCTGCCGTAGTAAGGACAATCTGTTCAGGTGTCAGGTAGGGATTCTTGGATGGATCAAACTTGGAGTGCAAGTGTGGTTTTGTTCCCTAGTCGACGAAGCACATGTTGTGGTGCCCTGCGTGCCCAAACAACTGCACGCAGGAAGATTTAATGAAGGCTACTGACAACGCCACTCTTGTGGCGGAGTTTTGGGCTGACGCTGTGTAGGTTTGTTGTCGACACGACAAGAAGAAGAATAAAAAAAATATTTTATAGGTACAAGCAAGTTTTTAATCTGAAATGCAGTTCTTTTTACTAAAATGAAAAAAATAATGCAAGGTTCAAATAATTTTGAAAGCGCAAACCGAAAAAAAGAGGAATAAATTCCATGCGCGATAATAAAATAAAACGCTTTTCTTCAAATACTTGCATCTTTTTGAAAAAAACTACGTTTTATTTAAATTAAATAATTGATGTTTTAAAACATTTACCCAATATTCGAAAAATCCGGATAATCCGGATTTGTACGTAACACAAATCCTGAAAACCGGATTTAAGAAAAATCCGGATTTTGCAATCTCTAGTCGCGCGGCATTACTGTCACGCTCGAGGGAGACGCTAATGACTATGTCGGTGAGTGTCCCGGGAATATTCCCGGTAACTTGTTCTAGGCCCGGGATATACGGCAACCACGGCTGTCAGAAGGCGCCACGGTCGACATCAGCCTGACGGGCTCGGCCGGCCAGAGCTTCTGCGCCTTCCTGTCGCGCGGCATTACTGTCACGCTCGAGGGAGACGCTAATGACTATGTCGGTGAGTGTCCCGGGAATATTCCCGGTAACTTGTTCTAGGCCCGGGATATACGGCAACCACGGCTGTCAGAAGGCGCCACGGTCGACATCAGCCTGACGGGCTCGGCCGGCCAGAGCTTCTGCGCCTTCCTGTCGCGCGGCATCACCGTCACGCTCGAGGGAGACGCTAATGACTATGTCGGTGAGTGTCCCGGGAATATTCCCGTGAACTGAGTCTTAGCACGGATATAAGGCGACCACGGCTGCCAGAAGGCGCCACGGTCGACATCAGCCTGACGGGCTCGGCCGGCCAGAGCTTCTGCGCCTTCCTGTCGCGCGGCATTACTGTCACGCTCGAGGGAGACGCCAACGACTATGTCGGTGAGTGTCCCGGGAATATTCCCGTGAACTGAGACTTAGCACGGGATATAAGGCAACCACGGCTGCCCGAGGGCGCCACGGTCGACATCGGCCTGACACGGGCTTGAGGGAGACGCTAATGATTATGTCAGTGAGTACCATAACAAAAAAGACAGACTATCGTCAACTGTGCAACTACGAATACTAAAGTTCTTTGGTCACGTCTCTAGAAATGATACCTCGATGGAGAGACTGGTAGTTCAGAGCCAGGTTGAAGGCAAGAGAACACGCTGTCGATCGCCAACCCGCTGGATAGACGCCATCACAAAGGCCACTGAGTCCACCATGGTCCAGTGTACTCGCGATGCCTCTAACCGTCAGAAATGGAAGCACATCGCCAGGAGCTACCCTCGGATAAGACATCACCCCACCATGTACCTCATCAGCGCAATCACGACCACTCTGACAAAAGTGCCCATCTAATAAGAAGACCTTAATAAAAAAGTTACATTGATCATCAGTAACATGCGATTGCGGTCAAATACCTGCCTTGTCTAGCATAAAAAAAAGTCATCATTACAGCCTTAGGACGTCCACTGGCCACATAGGGCTCCCCCAATGATTTCCAGATTGGCCGTGGCCGTAGCCAGATCTTTCCCTTTACTATTGTCTTATTTTATTAGATTCTAGGTAGAAATCTAAGTATTGAATTGAAAGTGTGTGATTGGATGGAATTCCAATGTTTACACCATTCTCAAAGTGTATATTCTTTCTCAAAACGTGACGGTTAAGGCGATTAGAGTCCTCAATGACCTTGGGCGTTTGACCTTCACGCCGCGAGCAACACCCGCGCACCCCGCACCAAAAACTCCGATTTGACACCGATCAAAAATACACGGGCATAGGTAGATACAGAATAGAAGCTCTTTCTTCATACATTACTGCCTATTATTTTAAACTTAAATTGATGAACCTTGATGTCGGTGTGATTTAACTCAGGCGTAAAGGTATTTAATAAAAATAACAAAATCCATGAACATTTCGTGCGGGATAAAATTTTATTTTATTTTTTGTAAATTTTCTAATGCTTTTGTCGGTTCAGTCGTTCTCGAAATTTGAACAAACCCGACTTTATTACAAGCTTTTATTTTGCTTGCAATTTATGATGTAGGTACCTATGTAGGTAATTACATAAATGTTTGTTCGGGTGGAATCTTGCAAGCTGAATTAGTTAGACCAACTTCCTGACGACAACTAGGCTAGATGACAAAATTTCAATTATTTGTCCGTCAGACAGATAATTAGAAAATATTACTCATATTTTTTATTTTCTTTCATAATTAAACAATAACAGTGCTACATCGAGTTGAAATGGCGCGATACGCCACGCTTGAGTAGAATTTTTACTCAAATGTGACGTCACGCGACATTTCAACTCAATATAATACTGTAATTATTCGATTATGGAAAAAAATAAAAAATATAGTCTAATCTTTTCTAATTATCTGTCTGACGGACTAAATAGAATTTCGATTTCATTACCCAGTCATCATCCCTATTGGAACGCATTAGTACCTAGTATTGTCTATGGNCGAGTGACACAACCTCCCCGTCTGAAGGCCAGCGGCCGACTGCCGCCCGCACCCCGCGAAGGCCCCCTCAACAGCAAAACGTTCGGAATTTATCAAAAGTAAAATTTATGAATGAAAGTAATGTTCGATTGAAAAACGCAACGTGTCATTTAAAGATTAAAGAATTCCCAATCTATTCGTGCAAAAATCTTTTAAATTAACATAGCCGTTTTGAAGGAGTAGGGAGTTTAAGTTAAAAATCGATGTCCCGTATTTATTTTTTTAATCCAAAACAAAGACACGTAGCGAAAATTCAAACGTCACAAATGTAGTCCTTGAACTGTTGTATAACATACATTTTTTTTAACTATTTCTGTCCAGCAGTAAAAGAGGAGTAGGCTTTACAAAATGGCCATTTAGCGCGGATTGAGGACACTAATCGCCTTAACGGTGGCGTGGTTCAACAAATTCAATTTGGTAAACTTTAATGTATTTTTTCAGGCAAGGGCCTGTCCGGTGGCAAAGTGATCATCTACCCACCGAAGTCTTCGCCATTCGAGTCGCACTTGAACGTGATCGTCGGCAACGTTTGTTTGTATGGAGCCACCTCGGGACGAGCTTACTTCAGGTACTAATGTTTTTATCAGTTGTTTTGTACAATGACGCGTTTTGTTTTGCTATTCAACAGGAAGAGTGGGTGAAAAAGTTGTTAATAGCTTGTATTTTCCATATGAAATCTATAAAAGAACCACGTTTAAAAGGACTCCAGGACTTCTTGGCGGGAATCTGAAGCGTCATGTTAGCGGTTTTGTTTTATTTCCTCAAATTCGTGTTTGGGCGACTATTAATGTGTAATAATGGTGGATTATTAACCATTGAGTGTTCGTGAACGTGCATGAGTGTGGGCGAGTGAAGCAAAACAGTGCATCGTGATTCTTCTGGTTCTGTCAAGTTGTCCATAAGAGGTCTCAGTAAAGCACTACAACTTTACTGAGACTCGAGGGGTGGGAAGGGGTATCATCTATCATCCTTCATTATATCATTACTTGATCTCATTTTGTAACTCGTATCACATAAATACTTGAAAAAGGCACAAATCAAGTCGACCTCGACGTGTATTGCCAACATCATCAAAAAGAAGAAGAAGGACTCCACATATTAGCCTCTTTCTAGTGTCAACGTGTCGCAGCCGATTGCCGGATATACGCGGCGCTGGCGTCGCGTTATTAAGCTGGATTTAGAATCGCGCTGAAACGCTGAGTGGTCAGCGTGATACTAAAACCCGCCTTAGATTTGAAGAAAGTTGATGCGCCGTTTCAATGATGCGCAGGCGTTGGCGAGACGACGCTTGAAAGACGTTGTTGTGAGAGGCCTAACAGTTGACAAGTGACTGGTAGTGTCCATTAGCCTATTGACAATAAACATTTGTTTCCAAAAAGAGCATAAGAGCAGAGTAAATACAAATGAGTAGGTCATCTTCATAGAAACGCACCGAGCGCGGTTTGTACCTATGTGAGCGCGCCAATACGTATGCGGCGCGCACGCACACACTGACAAAATTTAGCGTGGATCAGCGGGATGTTGCGCCGAATTTTGTCAGTGTGTGCGTGCGCGCCGCATACGTATTGGCGCGCTCACATACAAACCGTGCTCGGTGCGTTTCTATGAAGATGACCTACTCATTTGTATTTACTCTGATAAGAGTGACCGGTGGCCTCACCTAATCTATTGACACTGCTTATTTCCAACAGGGGCATAGCGTCGGAACGTTTCTGCGTGCGCAATTCAGGCGTGACGGCGGTGGTGGAGGGTGTGGGCGACCACGGCTGCGAGTACATGACGGCCGGCACCGTGCTCGTGCTCGGCCTCACGGGCCGCAACTTCGCCGCGGGCATGAGCGGTGCGTGCTGTAACACACGGACACACAGTAACACTCCACAGACGCACAGCGGCCGAGCGCTTCTGTGTGGGCGACCACGGCTGCGAGTACATGACGGCCGGCACCGTGCTCGTGCTCGGCCTCACGGGCCGCAACTTCGCCGCGGGCATGAGCGGTGCGTGCTGTAACACACGGACACACAGTAACACTCCACAGACGCACAGCGGCCGAGCGCTTCTGTGTGGGCGACCACGGCTGCGAGTACATGACGGCCGGCACCGTGCTCGTGCTCGGCCTCACGGGCCGCAACTTCGCCGCGGGCATGAGCGGTGCGTGCTGTAACACACGGACACACAGTAACACTCCACAGACGCACAGCGGCCGAGCGCTTCTGTGTGGGCGACCACGGCTGCGAGTACATGACGGCCGGCACCGTGCTCGTGCTCGGCCTCACGGGCCGCAACTTCGCCGCGGGCATGAGCGGTGCGTGCTGTAACACACGGACACACAGTAACACTCCACAGACGCACAGCGGCCGAGCGCTTCTGTGTGGGCGACCACGGCTGCGAGTACATGACGGCCGGCACCGTGCTCGTGCTCGGCCTCACGGGCCGCAACTTCGCCGCGGGCATGAGCGGTGCGTGCTGTAACACACGGACACACAGTAACACTCCACAGACGCACAGCGGCCGAGCGCTTCTGTGTGGGCGACCACGGCTGCGAGTACATGACGGCCGGCACCGTGCTCGTGCTCGGCCTCACGGGCCGCAACTTCGCCGCGGGCATGAGCGGTGCGTACTATAGTCTAATGCTTGTGGCAACATCTACGATACGCCACTACAAACTGGTGTACCAACAGATGGCGCTGTTACGACTCCCACTATGGCATACACCGCAGCGCGTACAATCCTGCATCGCGGTGTCGGAGTTTTCTACCCTGCCTAGTATATGTATAACGTTAAGTGATGTCACTCGATTATTTCTAAACTATACAAGATATTGAAAAACTGGTTACTTATCCTGAAAGAGCTTCAAGAGCTCTTTCAAACGGTACCAATAATAGGTTACAGAATAAACTGGATCTATCTGAAAATTCAATGTTTCCAGCTTCCATACTAAATGTATGCCAGACACACAATATTAGTAGTGTAATTTTTTTTATTTAATAAGAAACTTAAAATAAACTCGTAAATTGTATTCTTATTTTAAATTATTCATGGAAAACATTGGTTTTAGGCTTTACTTGCTATAATATTGTCAAGAAATGAGTGTCATGACCGTGGTAGTACAAAATATATGGAAGAAGGAAACATGAATTTTTTGATAGATCCAGTTTATTCTGTAACTTATTATTGATACCATTGGATAGAACTTGTAAAGCACTTTTAGAATCAGTAATCAGTTTTACGATATCATGTGTAGTTTTTAAAATAATGTGACTTTACCAAATGTATGGAAGCTGGAAACATTGAATTTTCGGATAGATCCAGTTTATTCTGTAACCTATTATTAATACTGTTTGATAGAGCTCATGAAGCACTTTCAGGATCAGTAACTAGTTTATTGATATCTTGTATAGTTTAGAAATAATCGAGTGAGATCACTTATCGTTTCCACCCTGTATAGACAAACCAAGATGGTGACAAACTCGGAAGGAGTAGATGAGAGAACTCCATAGAATACGCTTGATAGTTCCATGGGAGATTTTTCAAAACTTCTTGCAACTGCCATAACTTACAATCATCATCAACACAAGGCTCTTCGGTATGAGTATTTAGTCTACATTCCCCGCGCTGGTTATATAGGTTTGCGACTATAAATTAGGCGAGTAACACACTGCACCGCACTCAGCGTGAGACCTCAGATTGAAACTGATATGGAAGTACATGCCTCAATTTGTATAGAAAACACGCCTAACATAACAACATAGTAATACATACACTACATACTGCGTTATCTATTGTCGCCCCGCGTATCGCAGTGCAGTGTGATTCTGTCAAAACTCATTAGGACACTTCTCAAAGGCAACATGTAATACTCCCCAAACTCCGAAATACTCTATATCTTGTTGTATTACTTTGTCTCTGTGAATAAATACTCTTTTTAGAAATCAGTTTCACATAACAAAATGCTCTCTACACCACAGGTGGTATCGCATACGTGTACGACATCGACGGCTCTTTCGCGCTGAAGTGCAACCAGGAGATGGTGGAATTGCTGCCTTTAGAGCTGCAGGACGACCTCGATACAGTGAGGACCCTGCTTGAGGAGTTCTTTGAGTACACTGGGTAAGAAAGAGAAACAAACTTAAAGGACGCGCATTTTAGATTAATGTTTTTAATTTACAGGTAACACAATGCACAAAACGTCCAAAAGACGATATTTAATTTTAATGTGATTATATTAAACTACATAGGTACTTCCACGTTTTTTTACAACTACGTACTTCCAATTTTAAGATGAATTAAACGAGTTATACATTGGAACTTAATAACTCATCCCTATGCTACAGTCATAGTAAATAACTGAGTAGGCTACTGCGCTTGTGGAGAGGTATGACGTAACAGAACTTTTACTGACGTATTTCATTCACCAAAATAATCCTTCCCGACCGGTTCACACTGAATCTTGAGATTTGGACCAACTATACCTCAAATCACATTAAAATTTAGTTAGGCTTAGAATTTTATCAGGACTAGATATACTAAATAACTTGTAATGCTTTCCTACAGCTCGGTCATCGCTCAAGACATGCTCAAGACTTGGCCGGCTCCCGCTAAGATGTTCGTCAAAGTGTTCCCTTACGAGTACCAGCGCGCGCTCAAGCAAATGGCTCTCAAGGCGCCCGCGCCTAAACTGGAGACCAACGGCAAGGAGGAGAACGGCCTCGTTGATATCGAGGAGACTGTGAGAGATGCAGAACTTGAGAAGAAGAATCTGGAGAAGATCCTGGATAAGACTAGGTAAGTTTTTGACCGTGTCATGCCCGCTTTCACCATAATAATAATAATAATAATTTTTTTATAATGTATTTTTAGTTTTTTTATAATTTACATTGTAAAAAAAATATTAAAAATAAGAAGGAAATTGAATAAAGAGATAATAATAACTTTATTTGTCCAAAACACAATCGTGATGTTAAATAAGGTACATGTTAAAAAAATTTGTAGTACATTGGTAGGCGAGATTGACAACTACCCTCCGCGCTAGTAATAAAACTGTGTTGCGGCAGACCATCAATCCGTAATTTTTAAGTGACCCTTGAGGTAACACGTAACAGGAATTTTGTTTGCATAGTTGTCACTTAAAAATTAGGGATTGATGATGAAAACGGGCATCAGCCAAATGACGTCCACTGCTATACAAATGAGGCCCCCAAGGATTTCCACAAAGACCGGTCCTGTGCTGCCCGCATCCAGGGATTTCCCGCGACCTTCACCAGATCGTCGGTCCACCTAGTGGCAGGTCTGCCCACACTGTCTTTTGGTTCGTGGTTGCCACTCGAGAACTTGCCCCAGCGGTCATCAGCTCTACCATACGCATTTTGTATATAAAAATGTTGACAAAATGTTATGATGACCCAACTCATCATATTGCCATTCCATTCCATTGCAGTATTTCCTCAAGGTGACATTGCAGTGTACTTTTTCCTCCTCCTATTTTTAAGACCTACTATTGTCTTTTTAAGTACCTTTTTGTGTTTGTGTGACGTCCATTGTAATAGTTTATTGTATTGAATAATATTATGAAATACAGCGTATTGGCGTCACCATTTTCTACAAGCTAATTTACCTGAATATGATTATCATAAACATTTTTTTAGGTAGGTATCGTACAACTTTCTTAACACAACACAGCACTACATTAACATAAGATTTGAGGAAAACATGCATACCTAATTCAAAAGACGAAACTAAAGAAACTTATCCTATAACTTTGAATATTCAAAAATATAAACTGAGAATTTCCCTAACAGGGGCTTCATCAAATACCCTCGCGAGACGTCCATCTACCGTCCCGCCGAGAAGCGTCTCCGGGACTGGGACGAGATCTACAATCCGGGACACGTGCGCCGAGGGTTGAGAGTCCAGGCCGCGCGTTGTATGGAGTGCGGTGTCCCCTTCTGTCAGAGCCAGCACGGATGTCCTTTGGGCAACATTATCCCTAAGTGGAACGATCTGATTTACAAAGGAGACTGGAACCATGCGCTGTATCAACTGCTACAAACGAATAACTTCCCAGGTTTGTGCCTTTTTCTTTTTGGTCTAGTTAGAAACCGGCATTACCTCCTGCCAGTATCTTGGTTCAGTTCGGCCCGCCAAGAAACGTCTCCGGGACTTTCAACCCGGGACACGTGCGCCGAGGGCTGAGAGTCCAGGCAGCGCGTTGTATGGAGTGCGGTGTCCCCTTCTGTCAGAGTCAGCATGGATGTCCTTTGGGCAACATTATCCCTAAGTGGAACGATCTGATTTACAAAGGAGACTGGAACCATGCGCTGTTTCAACTGCTGCAGACGAATAACTTCCCAGGTTTGTACTTTTTGTAGGTTTTGTTTAGTTAGGTGTTTAGTAAGAGCTGTATTCCCTTCTGTCAGAGTCCACTAGGTAAAATTATCCCCAAATGGAACGCACTCGTCTATAGAAGAGAATGGAGCCACGCGCTATAGGTAGTAGACGTTGCAGACAAATAACTTTCCAGGTTTGTTTCTACTGGTTCATAGTCCAAACCAAGAGGAAATGAATCCAAAGTTCAGTTCAAATCATGTGTATTTTTTATGCAAAACATCTTAAAGATTTCAGCATATTTTATACGACGTATTTTTTCGCCGCCAATGTTATAAATAAACTGGCTCCGCTTTTTGCAAATCACGCGCTCAACAAAATGTACCTAATTTTATCCCCTAATCCCTTCGAGGCTCACATGTGATACATCTATATATATAAAAGAAAGTCGTGTTAGTTACTCCACTTATAACTCAAGAACGGCTGAACCGATTTAGCTGAAAATTGTCAGGGAGGTAGTTTAGAGCCAGGAGAAGGACATAGGATACTTTTTATCCCGTTCGAAATAAAAAAAAAGTCTGCTTATTTATTGCCATTAGGGCGGAACAAAGTTCGCCGGGTCAGCTAGTACGTAGATAAACGCTAACAACAGTACGCATGTTACAAGTTTACGGGGCGCGTGTGCCCGTTATCCCCCTTCGAGTGTCATGTGATACATAAGTTACAAAATGGGAGCAAGTGGGATATGACTTGGGTTAATTAAATGATATAATGAAGAATGATTGATAGATGATACACCTTCCAACCCTTAGGCCTGAAACTGCGTTAAGCGGATGCCCGCGATAAAGCACTTTGTATGAAACCGCGAGTCTAAGTAAAGTTTAGTGAGACTTCATATGGACTACTTTAGAGAATCCGAAGAATCACGCTGGACTGTTTCGTTTTATTTGCCCACACTCAAGCACGTTCACAAACACTTAATAGTTAATTATCCTATTACACACTAATAGTCGTCTAAACACGAATTTTAGAAACAAAACTGCCAACATGACGCTTCACATTCCCGCTAAGAAGTCTCCTAATGAGCGCTTGTATTTCAGAGTTCACGGGACGCGTCTGCCCGGCGCCGTGCGAAGGCGCTTGCGTGTTGGGCATCAGCGAGCCGCCGGTCACCATCAAGAACATCGAGTGCGCCATCATCGACCACGCCTTCGAGAGCGGCTGGATCAAGCCCGAGGTAAGTGCTTAATTCTATCTTAAAGAACATTCTCTTTTCAGCCAAATGACGTCCACTGCTGGACAAATGGGATGATGACTGGGTAATTAAATCTAAATTATATTTAGTCCCTCAGACAGATAATTAGAAAATACTGGACACGTATTTTTTTATCATTACAGTATTGTATTGAGTTGAAATGTCGCGTGACGTCACTTTTGAGTAAAATATCTACTCAAGAGTGACGTCACGCGACATTTCAACTCGATGTAGCACTGTTATTATTTAATTATGAAAGAAAATAAAAAATATGAGTCTAATATTTTCTAATTATCTGTCTGGCGGACAAATAATTGAAACTTTGTAATCTTGCCTAATGCCTCCTCCAATAATTTCCATATCGACCGATCCTGCGCTGACCGCATCCAAGTACTTCCCGCGACCTTCATCAGATCATTGGTCCACCTGGTAAGCCTGCCCACACTACGTCTTCCGGCCCGTGGTCGCCACTCGAGAACTTTTTTGCCCCAGTGGCCATCAGCTCTACGAGCTATGTGCCCCGCCCGCCACTTGATTTTAGCAATTCTGCGTGCTATGCCGGTCACTTTGGTTCTCCTGCGGATCTCTTCATTTCTGATTCGATCACGCAAGGAAACTCCGAGCATATAACCCGCTCCATCGCCCTAAAGAACATTGGCACAATAGATTTATAATACTAGCGTTACAAAGCTTGGCCTCCATTTCAGAACTTTGCTACCTTATCGATATACAGTGGCCTAATTCACGTATCAAAACTTCAACGACATGCAAGCGATTTTATCGCTGGTGTCACTTTTCGTGTTTACGTATTAATCGCCCGATTTCGTTTTTATGCGTATTCGATCATGCCTCCGCGGTATTCACCTATTACCTATTTTGTAGTTTGGTTTGTATCGGATCTTGGATTGTTTGTATGGTATCGGATGCCAGTGAAAACGTCAAAATTGACAAATCGCTGAGTTGCAATCCTATCGAATAATCGTTGTATTGAAATGACACGTGAATACGGATTTAACTGTTTAACTTTCAATAGGACGACTTTTAAACTTCAACACGCTACAGGTTTAGCGCTAAAATGAGTTGTGGGAACGGTATGAGAGGAGTGACATATGACGTGACAGACCATACAAGTCTGAAGCACATCTGACGTTTGACTTCACCAAAACACCTTCCCTGGCCGCTCACATACCTCAGGCACTAATAAAGTTAAGCGATAGACCCGTATACGGTATACCAGTGATGGCCAAGAGGTCGACCGTGAAGACCATTTTGGTAGTCCGCGAGAGTTCAATAAACTAAACAGAATGATTGAAAATGAATAATGTATTATTTCACTCTTCTAAACTGTACCTTGCAGTCGACCGCAAGAATATTTTCGAGCATAAGTAAACCTCACAGGTTAAAAGTTTGGCCACCCCTGCGCTATACGATGATTAGCACATAGCACGCAGAACTGACGGCCGATGTAGTAAGGTTGTGGAATGGAGGCCACGTACCGGCAAGCGCAGCGTGTGACAACCTACAAGGGGACAAGTTAGGTGGTAGTTAGATAACGATATCTGATAACTGATAAATAAACTAGTCGGCAATTTTTGTTTATACTCCTAGCCCTAAAATATAGACTACTATTTATGGGGTGTAACTCATGCACTCAGCAGCGCTTTGGTGAAAAAGTCACCTTAAAATTTACATATTTGGCAGTTTTATTATTTTTATGGGACCTGATGGTAAATGATTGCCGTCGCTCATAGACATCCACAGGCCCGGTGGCGTTACGAGTGCGTTTCGGTCCTTTAAGATATAAAGACGGTCAATCAACAGTTTGTTTGTGCGGGGCAGGAAGTTTCTAGTTTCATTTGCAAACACGAGCCAACCTTCGGCTCGTGTTTGCAAATGTCAAGGTTATGTATTCAGGAAGCCGTGAACCTGGTGGTGCCGACATAAAAGCAAAAGAATTCAAATATATTTTATTTTTTAAATACAAATATTTGTATAACTAGCTTTTGCCCGGGGCGTCACTCGCGTGAAATTTAGTTTGTCACAGATCGTCATACATTATAGCATATAATATGTTATTCTGGGTTATAAACAATAATACTGTAAATTTCATCAAAATCTATTCAATACTTTTTGCGTGAAAGAGTAACAAACATGTTAACATCAAGACAAACTTTCGCATTTATAATATTAGTAGGTAGGATAATTAAGTTAAGGCGACAATTATAGCCCAACGTTGTCGGATAGGGGCGAAAAGTGCTATCGATATTCAAAATAACATAATACTTTTTTGATGTTCAAAATAGGCACTAACGGTCACATAATACTTTTTTGCAGATTCCTAAGGTCCGCAACGGAAAAACCGTGGCAGTAGTGGGCTCCGGCCCGGCGGGCATGGCGTGTGCTCACCAGCTCAACAAGGTAACAATTACTATACGATACATTCCACCAGCTCGCACTAAGCGTTTCGATGACTCTTTTATAATGCGAACAGCTACTGACTGGAACTCGCTGCCTGCTGCTATCTTTCCTGAATACTATAATCCGGGCCTTTTCAGGGCGAGAGTGAATAGACACAGGGCAGATATGTACCATCCTAGACTGCATCTTAACACCAGGTACGATTGCGGTCAAATACCTGCCTTGTCCTGCATAAAAACAAATACTAATTGGAAATGATTTTATATTCTTCTTCTTTTCGTGTCGACAACAAACCTACACAGTGTCAGCCCAAAACTCCGCCACAAGAGTGGCGTTGTCAGTAGCACTCATCAAATCCTCCTGAGTGCAGTTGCCAATTTTATATTAATAGAACCATAATACACGATTTCAAACAGTATGACAGTCACGTTATATACAATGTGTTTGCAAAATAAGTTGTAGTCCATTAATTACGTATTGTTTTTTAAATTGTCTTTTCCGGTGAGGCAAGTAGTTAGTTACAGACATGCTGCTGTACTTTGTTACTAACTGTTATAAGAAGTGAAGGAAAAAGTTATAGGTATTATTCATAATTATTGTACTGGTGGTACCTACATGTCGCGCGCTGTTTGATGGTTCTATCAATAATATTCGTAATATCTCCCTACAGCCATCTGATTGTATCTTATGATCTCTTTCAAACCCCTTTCCAAGTCTCATTATGATTACTGGATTATCCCTAACCTTCACGTGGTTCCTCGGTCTGGATTTCTTTTCAATCCTTTTTGGAGCCTCATATGGATATCCACTGACCTCATGTGGTCCTTCACACCAGTTCCCCGAATCTATATCGAGCTTACAACTGGATAATTCAACTTCAAATTTTTTATTTATCACACTACAGTTGGTCTATGGGTTAGTAACAATGAAATATAAGCCTATGAATACTACTAAAGTCCGGTCGCCGAACACATAGAATTTCGTCCAATGACCCCAAGCTACCCATCCTTCTGGCTCGCGCGTCATTAATTACACTGCTGTCGCGCTCGCACACTCACTGCGGCCGCCCTTCGGACAGTCGCGACAGCAATATAATTACGCGCAATAAGGATGGGTAGCTTAGGGTCATTGGACAAAATTATATCTGCTCGGCGACCGGACATTACTTGTTATTATCTTACTTAATATTCTTGGTCCGCAGGCCGGTTACTCGGTGACGGTGTTCGAGCGCAACGATCGCGTGGGCGGTCTGCTACAGTACGGGATCCCCACCATGAAGCTCAGCAAGGAGGTGGTCCAGCGCCGCGTGCGTCTACTTGCTGCAGAGGGCGTGGCCTTCAAGTGCAACGTCGACGTCGGGAAGGACATCTCCGCGCGCGACCTGGCCAATGAGTAAGGAACCCTTGTAGCATGAACCCTTCTAGCATAAACCCTTCCAGCATTAGACCCCACTTCATGGTGGCTTCATAGCTTAGCAAGATGCCGAGGGCGTGGCCTTCAAAAGCAACGTCGATGTCGGGAAGGACATCTCCGCACGCGACTTGGCCAGAGTAAGAGCGCTTTCACATTTAGGCGACTATAGCAGCGCAACAGACGCGCTGTCGATAACTTCATACTATATGACAGCGGTTGCCTGCCTTCACATTATAAAAACGCCGTTGCCGCGCTGCTGTCGCGCTTCTCACGCCCTAATGTGGAAGCGGCCTAAGGGACCCTTCCAGTACGGGATCCCCACCATGAAGCTCAGCAAAGAGGTGGTCCAGCGCCGCGTGCGCCTCCTTGCTGCGGAAGGCGTGGCTTTCAAGTGCAACGTCGACGTTGGAAAGGACATCTCCGCACGTGACCTGGCCAATGAGTAAGGAACCCTTCTAGCATAAACTCTTCCAGCATTGGACCCCACCTCAATGTCGCTTCATAGCTTAAGCAAGATGCTGAGGGCGTGGCCTTCAAGTGCATCGTCGACGGCAAAGACATCTCCGCACGTGACTTGGCTAATGCGTAAGGAACCCTTCTAGCATGAACCCTTCTAGCATAAGCCCTTCTAGCATTGGACCCCGCCTCATAGTGGCTTCATAGCTTGGCAAGATGCCGAGGGCGTGGCCTTCTAGTGCGCAACGTCGACGTCGGGAAGGACATATTATCCGCGCGAGACCTGGCCAATGAGTAAGGAACCCTTCCAGCATAAACTCTTGTAGCCGTGGGGTGCCATACCCTACCTCATGGTGGCTTCATAGCTCAGCAAGAATCTTTATTGCAATTTCACTCGGAAGTTGCAGATGGTATGATAATGCAAGCTTTCCCAGAAGAAGCCTTTTCACTTGAACCTTATTAAAAGCCTTGCAGGTGGTATGGATTTGATGTCATTGTCATCATTTACTATCACTCCGTTCATTGTGGAAAACCTTGGGGGAGGCCTTTGTCCAGCAGTGGACGTCATTTGGCTGAAAACAACAACTATCACTCCCCTTGTAGCGAAAATGGCAATGGCATATTTTTCTGTGCTATGTAGGTACTTTAACAAATCTGAGTGTAATGTAAGCCTAGCCTGTAAGTTTTTAAAGATGTCCAATTAAAAATTAGAAATCCATCTCTCCTAATACGCAATGCATTCTTAGACTATCTTAGCATCTTTGTGGCGAAATAGTACCACACAATGTTTTCTTACTGTCTCTCAACGATCTATTCCTCCACAGATACGACGCCCTAGTCCTGTGCATGGGGGCCACCTGGCCACGTGACTTACCGCTCAAGGGCCGGCAGCTCAACGGCATCCACTTCGCCATGGAGTTCCTGGAGAGCTGGCAGAAGAAGCAGATGGGGCCCACCGCCGCGCACCACGCGCCGCCCGCCAAGGACCGCCCGGAGCTCAGTGCCAAGGACAAGGACGTGCTGGTCATCGGAGGAGGAGACACTGGGTGAGTTACTCTCGCTATATTAGCACAATTTTACAGGCAATCCACAGCGAGCAACTAGAGACGAAATATAGCCTCAAAGAGCGCTAATAATCTCGACCCCTCCTTGGTTTAACCACCACGCCCCACCCACCAAGGTCTATCTAGAAATCAACGCTAAGGACAAAAATGTACTGATCATTGCTGGAGGAAGATACTGGGTAAGCTAATTTTGGTATAACACGACCTCCGCCTTCATTTATCCAAAAAGTTCCGCCTACAAAGGACCCAGGGGCGTACGCTACGCTCCGCCCACTAAGGACCACCCAAAACACGACTTTATGAACTAGAATATCCTGATCATCGGTAGAAAAGACACTGGGTAAGCTAACTTTGGTATCACATGACCTCCCCATCGTTTATCTACCAAGCTCCGCCCACTAAGGACCCAGGGGCGTGCACCATGCCCCGCCCATCAAGAACCATCTAGAGCTCAACGCTAAGGTCACGCAGGGGACACTAGGTGAGTTTGAAGTAAATGAAACAGTTTATTACGACGCCCTAGTCCTCTGCAAGGGCCGGCAGCTCAACGGCATCCACTTCGCCATGGAGTTCCTGGAGAGCTGGCAGAAGAAGCAGATGGGGCCCACCGCCGCGCACCACGCGCCGCCCGCCAAGGACCGCCCGGAGCTCAGCGCCAAGGACAAGAACGTGCTGGTCATCGGGGGAGGAGACACTGGGTGAGTTCATTCCTTCACCTCGCAATTACAGCCATTACCAAACTATAGCTGGACCATTCTCAACATGAAAGTCATTCTCAAGAAGCGCCGAAAAGCACGAGCTCCCCCTTTCCTTAGAATTACGCTTCGCCCACTAAGGACCGCCCGGAGCTCAGCGCCAAGGACAAGAACGTGCTGGTCATCGGGGGAGGAGACACTGGGTAAGCTAGTTTTGACGTAGTAGACCTCCCCCTCCGTTTATCTGTTAAGCTCCGCCTACGACGGTCCTACTAAGATGCCCCGCCCACCAAGGACTACGCAGAACTCAATTCCAAGGAGAAAAATATGCTGGTCATTGGATGAGACACTGGGTGAGTTACTCTCGCTATATTAGCACAGTTTTACAGGCAATCCACAGCGAGACGAAAGCTTCCCCCAACTAGAAACTAAATCTACCCTCAAGGAGCGCCAAAAAATCGTCGTTTATCCACCAAGCCCTATCCACCAAGGATCACCCAGAGCTCAATGCCAAGGACAAGAATGTGCTGGTCATCGGAGGAGACACTGTGTGAGCAAGTTTCTACATTACAGCCAATGACAGTGCTCTGATAGACGACGACCATTACCAAACTATAGCTGGACCATTCTCAACATGAAAGTCATTCTCAAGAAGCGCCGAAAAGCACGAGCTCTCCCTTTCCTTGGAATCACGCCTCGCCTACTAAGGACCATCCAGAACTGAATGTCAAAGTCAAAGTCAAAGTCAAAATTTCTTTATTTGTTTAGACTAATAAATAGTTCTTACAAATCGTCATTTTGCTCTTAAGGAGCCTCTACATGTCTCATAATCTTTTTACCCTACCAGCGCTTCGAGACCAACATTTGGCAAGTGCTGAGAAGAAGCGCCGCAACAAACTCAGTCACCACTGTCTGCCGGTTAATATAAATAAATAGAAATAGCAGTAGTAGGTACATTCGATTCAGGAGCAGTTCACTGAATTTACCATGCATTCTTGTATAGTGTATCTTATAAGAATGGGTATACAAAATTGCGTGGTATATTAAACAAGGTAGTGACGTGCTAATATCTAGACTTACAGATTACATACTTAAATACTAGTAGAAATGACTCGCATACATAAATTGGAATAACTTGGATTGACCAGTCCCCGAAAGCAGCGCCTGTTCACAGACATGACGAGTGAACCAGCCATCGCTTCACTCGACCATATTAGAGGGAATGTAACGACCCGCCTCACTACGCCACCACCCCAGAGACATTTTAGTGAGAATGACAATTCCAAGTTATCTTACAGTTACAAGAAAGTTTATTTGATAAGGACTCAAAACGCTCAGTTTTATAATTACATAGGTCAACAAGTTCGGAAGTGGCCAGTACATGTTCATTGATTTGTTTCTGTGCCATTTCATACCGAGATTGAATCTGTTTAAGATAAACTTCCAAGTCATCGATTTTCTCATGTAAGATTAAAGTATTGTCATCATACAACTTTTTGTTTTGTTCTATTATTAAGTTGTATGATTTAAGCTTTTCTTTTAAAAGATTTTTCTCTTTCATTAGAATTGACTGTTTAGGTATACTACGTTGAAATTTAATTAATTTTTTGGTTTTCTTGATAAATTTCTTGATTTTAATATATTTTTTAAGTTTATTATTACTATTAAATTGATACTTTACTGCTGGACCGGAACAAGACACATCACATGTCAAGTCTATTATAGGTATAGTTGGATTCTTCAATTCGTGATCACTGTTAATCAATTCATTATACAGGCTCACGGTTGAGTTCAATTCTTGTACCTGTTTTTCCTCCTCCATAGATTTTATGGTTTTATGTGACTCACATAGGCTCTTTTCGAGGTCATGGATGCGATCCAAAGCCTGCTCATGAGTGTTGTTGCATTCACTGAACGAATTCACTGTTTGTTGCAACTTCAAACATTGCTCCGCTAAGTCTAGATATTTGCCATGAAGCTCGGCAAGCTCATTCTTCAGTTGTGAGTTCCTGTTTACAACTTTTTGGATCTCCTGTTCACTGTCTTCACGTTCCCGGAGCAGCTGGTCGCTGACCTCTCGTGTAGCTTTGAGGTCCAGGAGAGCCTGCCTCAACTTAACTTCCATGTCCTTCATGGTGGCCTTACGGGTCAACATCCTTGAAGCTTGTTGCAGTGAAGTTTACCAATGGAAATAGGATTTTGTGTAGTGATCCCGATCGAAGAACCGAGAAAAAAAATAAAAAAAGGGTTTTAGTGATTTTGGCAATAATAGTAGGTGATAGACTATTAGGGATCTGTATTTTAATACTATCTTATAAGCATTTAAGAGTCTTAGTACAGAAAATAACCAATTTATAAAGTAAAGCTAAGTTGTGTGGGTAGGAATTTTTTGTTAAAATAACTGGTAAATAATTTGTCTACTTATTTTCACTTATAATAAAGGATCTTTTACACGTATTGTATTATTTTACAGAATAAAGTTTAAAATTGAGGAATTCTAAGGCAAAAATAAGACTATTTACATGAAAATATAACCTCAACGTTGGGAATGTACTGTTATAATTTCAGTGTATAATGAAAAATACATGTAATTTACCCATAGATATTAGTTAATTAATGAATAAAAACAATACTCCCCTGTTATTTTGTTCCGTAAATTTTGGAGCTGCAAATGCTTAGGACAAGAATGTCCTTGTCATCGGAGGAGGAGACACTGGGTAAACTAATTTTGCCATGGTAGGTTCACACCCTTCGTTTATCCACTAATCGCCCCGTCCACTAAGGACCACTCAAAACACAATTTTAAATACAAGAATGTCCTGATCAGCATCGGTAGCACAGACACTGGGTAAGTTAATTTTGCCATTTTAGCTCAATTTCGGGTTAATTCCACTGATCGTCTGAGTGAAATCACCTGAAACCCTCGCCATTATCTACAAACATCGCACTAAGACACTGGATGAGCTAGTTTCATCATCTCAGCATTTGTTATAGTCAATGGCCGTTCCTTGTTGGATGAAAACCTCCAATAAGGAGCGTGAGCAGTACGTGTAAACAGTAAATAAAGATTCGTTAGCGTTACCCATCATACCCCGCCCACGAAGGACCACCCACCCAGAAAGGTGAGATCAGATCAGCAGATATTCGTCTTACAGCTCCATTACTACAGCTAATGAAAATCGCTTGACGGAAACGTTCTCCAACGTCGAACAATACGACCACCCTGTTTTGGTCTATCTGGGTGATCAAAGTGGACTTCCAGCGACAATTTAGTGACCTTTGATCACACGGATACGATACGATGGCCTGGGTGATCAAAGTGGACTCCAGTTAAATTATTATTTTAGTATCCTTTGATTTGATCACCTATACAGGGTGTTTGGTAAATGGGTATATGAGCCGACACTAGCCTATGTTAACATGAGCATATAAATGGTATGGTGAAGTCAGAAATTTGATATCATCATTTTAAATATTTTAATTTTCATACAAAATAAATTTTATAAAATCCGATTTATATTCAGGGTGTTAGGTAAATGGGTATATACCCTGTATAACCCCTGTTTTTTTATCCACGTGCATAGTAGGTATCATTTAAATTTCATTTTGACACATGTTTCATAGACACCGGATAAGACACGCATATTGAGTTTCCGTTGACATTGTTGTGATGAATTGTCTGAAGGCAGCGAAGTTAAAGTCAATGTAAAGTTATGAAAATGATAGTCATGTTTATGCATATTAGAAGGAGATGACAAACAATATAATTCAAAACTGTTTAGAAAGCTGAAAACATTTAATTTTCGGATAGATCCAGTTTATTTTGTAACCTATATTTATTGATGCCGTTTGATATAGCCCGTGAAGCACTTTCAGGATCAGTAACCAGTTTTTCGATATCTTGTATAGTTTAGGAATAATCGAGTGAGATCACTTATCGTTTCCACCCTATGTACATAGTTTCATCATGATAGCACAGGCCATAGCGACGCGAGTTAAACAGGAATAAAAGAAATTTAATACTGTCTAATACAAGCTTCTTTTGTTTAGTTTAGGCATCAGTCTCCCACAATAATCTATTTGTACCATAAGCTAGATTTTTGTTTAGATTAATATTGATGTAATGGTTGTTGTGGTAAGAAAATAAAGCATTTTGTTTTATTATTAACTTGTTACTTAGTCATACTAATACTTATCTGCTTGTTTCAGTTGCGACTGCATAGCCACGTCTCTGCGGCAGGGCGCCAAGTCTATCACCACATTCGAGATCCTGCCCGAGCCGAAGCCCACTAGGGGGCAAGACAACCCCTGGCCGCAATGGCCCAGAGTTTTCAGGTATACCACATTCTTCCTCTATCGAGTGAACTTTGAAGTTTTCAACTTAAGTTTTATTTTAATGTTAGCTGTCTTACAAAAGCCTACAGGTGTGTACACAAGTTCGGATTTATTGTTAAATCGAAAATAATGCCTAACTATAGATCGTTGCATCCACGAAGACGCGCCCCTCCATTTTTCCGTTAATGTTTGAGTGTTATCGGTACACGTTAAATCTTCCCCTTTTTTCTCGTGGTCAAACTAGTTTGTCATACCAGTATGATCACGAGGATATACAGGTCCTCGTGGTCATATTATCGTTTTTATTATCCATGAGTGCACACGCACACTACAATAATGCCGCTCGGATTGCTCGGATCAAACTCCCCGCGCCCCGTGCTTCCCTCAACTAAAAGTTAGTGTGAACTGTGACGAGTCTTCGTGGATGAAACGAACTTTATTGCATGCTTTAAATTCTTAAGTTTTTTGAGAAGTGGAAAACCGCATTATATTCGATACTAAACGTATACTTCCTTTTCAGAGTCGACTATGGTCACGAAGAAGTGAAAGTCAAATTCGGAAACGATCCCCGGAAATTCTCCACTCTCACCAAAGAGTTCCTGGATGACGGTAAGTAAATATAATCCTGTTGATAAACTAGAATGGTTGAATTTTAATCTCCAAATTCTTGAAATTGAATCTTCTATTTGATTATGAATCAATGTTCAATGATACATCCAACTCCATATGAAATAACAACCACCTGTGGTTTAGTGCTAAGACCACTTAGCTCAGAGGTGACAGAGATCGCGATTTCGATCCCTCCCCCATCTGTTTAGTTGTTGATAAGACTTGTTCTAATTCTTTTTACGTCTTATTGTCAAAACTTAAGTCTTACTAGCTTTTGCCCGCGGCTTCACCCGCGTGAAATTTAGTTTGTCACAGATCGTCATAAATTATAGCCTATGTGTTATTCTGGGTTATAAACAATAATACTGTAAAGTTTTCATCAAAATCCATTCAGTAGTTTTTGCGTGAAAGAGTAACAAACATCCAGACATCCAAACTTTCGCATTTATAATATTAAGTAGGATTGTCAAAACAATGTTAAAAGTTACTCTGTGGTTTTCGGCACTTTCGGCTCGATCGTCATTTAATCAGCTTGGACGCAGGCCAAGCGCTTTCTTATTGTGGTTAAAAAACACTTTCCTTTAGATCCGATAGTGTGTAACATTTTATTGTGTGTGCTTTGTTTATTTTAAATTTTTTTCCTTGTTTTCTATAGGCGAAGGCAACGTATGCGGCGTGTCGGCAGTGGAGGTAGAATGGACTCGTGGCGCGGGCGGTCGCTGGGAAATGCGCGAAGTCCCCGGCTCCGAGCGCGTGTTCAAGGCAGAACTGGTCCTTCTGGCCATGGGCTTCCTGGGACCTGAGCGATACGTCGCCAACCAACTTGGTAAGAGACTAAGAAACTTTTAGCCATTTGGAGACCCTTATGTACTTTCAGTAGTAAGCTAAAGTGGCAATATGCAGGGCATATAGTACGCAGAACTGACGGCCGATGGGGCAGCAAGGTTCTAGAGTGGAGGCCACGTACCGGAAAGCGCAGCGTAGGAAGTCCACCCACAAGGTGGACCGACGACCTCATAAAGGTAGCGGGAAGGCGCTGGATGCAGGCCGCCACCAACCGGCCATTGTGGAAATCATTGGGGGAGGCCTATGTTCAGCAGTGGACGTCCTATGGCTGAAATTATGATGATGATGTACTTTCAGTCGTTTGTTAGTATCATCATCATTTAGTCTGTGTCAGTCCATTGCTAGATGTAAGCCCCAGCCTTTTCAGCCAGTGGTCGATTGTGGTGGCCTTTCATTACTATCATCATACGTCACAAAGCAGCTAGGTAAGATAATATAATCGCAGCTAGGGTTTCCAGGTCCAAAAACACAAAAGCCAGACTCTGTGCTTCATTTGGCCGGACATTTTACTCTAAAAGCCGGACATGTTACGGGTGAGTACTATCATCATCGATACGTGCGCTTGATATTATTCTGTGGGTCGACTTTCGCCTGACGCGGCAGCCACATAAAAAGCCGGACAGGCCGAACAAGACAATATTTGGCTTTGCAACGGAGGGAAGTTACCGTACCTACCGGAATATCTTTTTCATAAAGGTTACTAAACCTTTGTTTGTCGTAAGCATGTTTAACTTCTTACAAACATCAGCATGACTTGCTGAAAGATCAAAACTCAAACTCTAATAGGTACTCATTTAACCTTTTGTGCTGAGTCATTTTCCATATCGATTGTTTAAGGTCTACATCTAACTAAATTGACGTAATTTGTTCACAGACTTGCCCTTAGACGCTCGCAGCAACGTGGAAACGGACAAGTCGAACATTTACAAGACCCCTGTAAACAACGTCTTCGCGGCTGGAGGTGAGACACAAAATAAATTATCAAGTTACGGTAATCAAAGATAAACAACTACCGGAACTGAAAAAACATTACATTTCAAATGCCGTGTTTTTTTTATATTACAACCTATGTATATGATATATGTACATACACATAAAAGAAACAATACAACATAGTGATAAAGCTTCTTGGTATCTGAAAGAGCAAATTTACATACAATACAGACAGAAAACAACAAAAACAAAGGAAAATTTTAATTATGTACATAATATCTAAATACACCTACTTTATACTGTGTTATAAAGTAAATTTTGAATTTTTGTATTGAAGTTTCGGAGTCTGAAACTTCTGGACCGATTTGAAAAATTCTTTCACCATTAGAATTTGAACTCCACTCGATCCGGTGATGAATCGACCCGAGTATAAACCGGCTCGTCAACACATGCACGCGTGGCGCCGGACCGAATATAAACCCGTTTGTCAACTCCTTAAAATTCTTAAAGTGACTATTTATTAAACAGCACACAGCAATTAATACCTAATTGCAAGAAATACAAAAGTTATATTCCTTTAACAATATAATCTCCGCAGACTGTCGACGCGGCCAGTCGCTGGTGGTATGGGCGATCTCCGAAGGCAGACAGGCGGCGCGTGCGGTGGACACCTATCTCATGGGCCGCTCGGCGCTGCCTGGGCCTGGTGGTGTCATCTATGACCACTGAGCGGTCTAGCTAGCTGGGACACCGCTCTCAAACCACGCCCTCTGTCGGTGGACATCAATAACAACTTAATCAATATGAAAAGATAGCTGGATTCTGGATTGTGAACAAGATCAAGCAACCATGGTGAGTCGATATCGTTGCTGTAGACACAGTTCATAAGATACAATATTGTACTATATTGAGGCAATATTGTGCTATATTGAGGCAATATTGTGATATATTGAGGCAATATTGCACTATATTGAGACAATATTGCGTGTTTACTTATGTGCATCAATTCTGTCGTAAAACATCCTCCTGTGTACACCGATAGATAAGAAGTTTGAGAACGATTTTCGTGAATGATTCTCGCGCTAGTTCAGTCATATATGAGTATCGACTATCGATGTTGTAAAATAACGTATTTTAATCGGCCTACGTATCAACAGACTGGTTTAAGATGAAATGTTTGCAGCACCGATAAATACGAGTCTACTTTATATTAATTTTCGTTGTAATAGTAGCAGAATACAACAAATGTTATCGATAGATGTAAAGCGCGTAGCACAACGATCCGTGATGAAATCGAGATCTAAATTATTAACAAATTAGCCTAGTCGTTAGCGAAATTTGAAAGTTATCACAGTTATATAAAATTATCGTCATCCAATATGCCAATGTTTTTCGAACTTGTAGTCGCTTTTGTTTTCGTAAGCCTGAATAGACGTACTTTTGCCGTTTTAGATGGGCGTTTGTAATTATTTTAAGAAACGTTTACTGTTTGATAATCTTATATTTATAACCACATTCCGTTTGTAGACATTTGTCGCGTATTTTTACCCGACTACGCCAGGAGGAGGGTTATGTTTTTAGATAGTTTTCGTAACTGAGACATATCGCGGCCGGTCTCCGGTCCGGTCGAATATTAGTGATCAGTCAAGTGTCATATAACTTTGTTGGTTATAGAATGTTTTTAATATTATTGTACATCATTGTTTTTATCTCGTCTGTAGGTATAGACTGTGTTAAGTGATTTGACACGATATTTCGTACAACTATATTATTATGAAGATATATTATCATATAATTATGTTACATTTGCAAAATTCACTTGAGGTGTATTATCTGTCATATTATTTGCTTATGTATTATAACTATACAAACATTGTATTATTTATGTAACAATGTATCCTATGTGTATCCATATGAATGCTGTCCGTACAGAAACTACTTGTTCCTAATATCTATAATCAGGCAAAAATCAAAGTAGGTATTTACTTTATATTTATTTATGAAAATTACAAAAATTATAACCGTTACACAAAATCATAGAAATTATTTACTGGCAAAGATTTATTTTTACATATTTTTCTGGTAATTTAGTTTTAAGTGTTGGCACATTATGAGATATATCTCAATATCTATGTAACATCGTGTTATATACTATTGAGTTTTTTTTTTTATAGAGTTTTGATATTTTAAAGTGAAAACAACTGAATGTAATTTAAAAAAATCTTTATTTGTCCTCAAATGTGCCGTAATTTAAAAAACTACGAAATAGATTGATCTATTTCAATTAAAAATTCAACCTGTGATGTAAGATTACAGTAACTGAGATTAATTTGTGTGAATGTTTGTTAATTGCTTAGTTATAATGTTTTCGTTGGTAACCGTTAGAAGTTCCTATAAGTTAACCATATTGTAAAAGATTTTTTAAGTGATCTTCAGTAAAAACTAGTCTAAAAAATTCCCATTAGTCACTGTATCGACGTTGGTTTTGGTTCTCAGGTCTAACTATTCAAAAACTGACTGATTCCCTCAATGTTTTTGAATGTACGCAACATTCAAATTAAGGAAATTGGTTATCTTTTTATGACATGATCTACTGATTTTTCGCAAAGAAATTATCACATTTACCATATAGTTTTCATATCACTACGTAACTCTGAATAAAGGTTTGTGAAACCACGTATTATTGCTTAAATGTAATCTCTCATTGGTTAAGGTTAATGATCTTTTAGTGGTCGTAGGTTAAAGAGTAATGTATTAGGTGCGAAAACATCGTAATTGTTAACTATTATTATTTATTAACTTCCGGATAAACATTTTGTTATTTTAATATTTACTTGTTAAAACTATAAAAGACAGGTTCTTAGATTGTGTTTATTACAATGGCCAAGTTTAGAAAAGCAGTGTCAATTATTATTAGAAGCTTATGTCCACTCCGTACCTAAACACTACGTAATCACATGTTACAATTATATTTAGATCCAATGTTGAAAACGTAGTCTAGATGTTATAAAATTGACAGTTTGGATATTATAATATGATTGACAATAATTAAATGTTTATTCGTAGTGGAACCCTGTATCGTAATATTAAAGAATAAATAAATATTTCAGCACATATATTTTGTCTTATTTATGCCCATGCGAGCATATACCCTTTATTTATTTATTTATTTATTTAAAATCTTTATTGCACACATAAAAAACAGTGGTACAACAGGCGAACTTAATGCCATGTGGCATTCTCTTCCAACTAACCAGAAAATTAGACAAAACAGAGAATTTAGGTAGGCGGTGCAAAATACCTTTAAACCCATGGATACCTCAAAGTTCATATTTCTTGCTATCATATTCAATGCGTTTTATATTTCTTCCTACCCACATAATTCTATAGTTATTAATTTAAAATTTAAATGTTGGACGTCATGAACATTTTCTACTAACATTAGAAAAAATCATGTAAAAGCAAATATAAGATATATTTAGACCGCTAATGTCACGAGGGAGGTTTTCTAAAATACTCATTCTATTTTTGGATAAATATTGACTAACGAAGCTTCGAATTTACATAACACTCGTACTTATTAATAGAGAATGCCATAAATTATGCTACAATGATATGAATGCACACAATTCGATCAGACACATGGTGCCATCAAGGTGCCTTACTCACACCTTCTGGACACGTGGGTGTTGACACGAGTCTACAGGGTGTTAGATAAATGGGTATATGAGCCGACACTAGCCCATGTTAACATATGCATATAAATGGTATGGTGAAGTCAGAAAATTGATATTTTCATTTTAATTATTTTAATTTTCATACAAATCATATTTTATAAAATTTATTTTGTATGAAACTAAAAAAATATAAAATGATGATATCAAATTTCTGACTTCACCATACCATTTATATGCCCAGCCCATGTTAACATGGGCTAGTGTCGGCTCATATACCCATTTACCTAACACCCTGTATACACGTTCAGTCAAATAGAAAATCTCTACCGTTTTCGAATTTTCAGAGCACGAGCATACATTTTGATATTCCCATAATTAATCAGACGTGTTCACATGCATAATTAAAATCACCCCTTTACCTGTTTTCTCCAATGCTTATGAAATCACTAGTCGGGACTCTTCCTTACTTCAGAAAACACGTCCAGGCGTTGGGTGCAACCAAATAAGAAACTTATAAGTTCAATTACCTACTTAATTTTTTAAATTAATTACGATATAGGGTGTTTGGTGTTGTGATATTTCGGACAAAACTTGTTACAGTGAGTTTTTATGTTTATATTATTTTTTTTTTCACTAGAAATGAAAACATGCTTTTTTATTTTCTGCTCTTTTGATCTAGTGCTTATTTCCGGTAGTCGGCCGTTTGGTGAAGTGGTTCGTAACTGACTACTATGCCGAGGTTCGATTCCCGTTCAGTACAAACATTTGTATACATGAACATAAAGTTTTTCGGTCATTATTTTTCATTTTTGTGTTTTTTTTTTACACATATCATTGGCTTACAAATGCAATTTTTTATTTATCTGTAAGACGGGTACATAAGAAATATTTTTTATGTAGAGACACATAAAAAATAAACTTAAAAAATTAAGCCATTCCAAGAGGACGGGGGTGGGCCCACATATGGGGGCATATTTGTCGATATAATTGACATCACAACATCGCCTTAAATTATCGCTAGCCCTATCCCAAACACACTTTATAATAAGTATGTATGTACCAAAAAAATATGTATATTTAAATTTGTTATCTAGTACCTATAGTAAAAGTTTTGCTATTAGTTTGGGACTAGAGGCACAGGCTAATGTTCAAGGATATCTATTTATTACATATTATTTATTTAGGTACAACAACAACAAAACATACAAAAAATTAAAAACAACTATTGTTAAAGTGACCTTAGTAGTTGAGGTTTGTGTGCAATGTGCATAAATAAATAAATATGTAATATTTTGAGTTTTTGTCACCTTGTACCTACTTATTTACGCACTTGTTATTTTCAAAAACTAACAAAAGACAACCTCAAAAAGATAAGTGGTTGTATAACAAGCAATATGCACCTTGCATTTGATGGTCATGTATTTGGGAAATACGTACCTAATGTTTAGGTATTTTAAAATGACGCTGCAGAACAATGTTCATTTTGTATTTTAATAACAATTAATGTTTTCCAGAATAATGCAATTCAATGAAAAACTTTCTCTATTATACAAAAGCTTCAACGAAAAATTTGAAGAACAGTTCGAATTTAAAATACAAGATGTGACTTTTGAGAAAATCGTTATTTATTTGAACAAGCCAAAGGATCCGTCCAGTTTAGCTGTTACACGTGTTTTGTTCGGTAAGTTCTCTGTTCGTTACATTAACAATTAAGATGTAAGTACAAAAATACTTCAACTAAAATAGTCACTCGTAGGTAAAATTATAAAACATACATATGTTAAGGTAAAAAAGTTTGTAGGGACATGTTTCTTGTACTCACTCTGAATAATTTGTCTGAAAGTTATAATATTGTATTACTAAAGAAAGATGTTACCTTTAGGCAACTTCTTCCCGTTCGCCAGTTACCTAAAATTAATTTCTACCTTCGGCCTGATCATCACTTTCCAACAAATGAGATGCGATGCGCGCCTAGCTAGAGCTCATCCGTTATGGTAAAAAAACTTGGCAAACGAAGGAATCCCAACTAATAATATTATAAATGCGAAAGTAACTCTGTCTGTCTGTCTGTCTGTTACGCTTTCCCGCTTAAACCTCGCAACCGATTTTGATGAAATTTGGCATAGAGATAGTTTGAGTCCCGGGAAAGAACATAGGATAGTTTTTATCCCGGTTTTTGAAACAGGGACGCGCGCGATAAAGTTTTTCTGTGACAGGCAAAATTCCACGCGGGCGAAGCCGCGGGCGGAAAGCTAGTACATTAATAAACCCTTGAAGAGGAGGCTGACAATACTGGCTGAGTTTTTTGCGCTGCTTCTTCTCAGCACTGGCCCATTTATTGTCCCGAAGCAGTGGTATGGTTATTAATACTGGGACGTTTAAAAGTGCTTCTTAAAAGCCTATTTGCAAAAATAAATGAGTTTTTATGTATATTAAAGTGTACTCTTTTACATGAGCAATTTCCCAGGGTTGGCGATGCTATTCGACATCCCTGACGAGCGAGGGGGAGCGATAATGGAGCGCCGCTGGGATTCAAAGCTGTGTCGCTTTCCTCTCCTGCCGTTTCTGCAGGCCCTGCCGATGCCCTACATGGCGATCGTGTATGCGATCTTATGGCTTGGTAATAGTGATCAAATTATCGTTATTAATTACGGATCTAATAAATTCACTTCAAACCACTTAAAACAGCTTGTCTTTAAATAAGTCAGGTCAATAAGTATATTTACTGAAGGTTCAAATCTTCTCACCTCATCGTTACTTTGCCGTTTAAGAGATTGACGTCAAAAGTAGACATACAATGTAGTTCCTTCATTTGTTGCTAAACAGTTTTGAATATTAAAAATATTTTATTCAATTTAGACAAACATTTGGCACTTAACTATGAACTATTCATAATAGGACAAAGTTCCAAGTGTGCCACAATTTACTTATCATTTGCAGGCGCGCTAGGAATAATGCTCGGGTACAAATACAAGATGGCCGCCGCAGCGTTCGTGGTTTGTTACTGGTACCTCTTCCTCATCGAGAAGAGTTACTGGAACAATCACAGCTACCTTTTTGGGCTAGTGGGGCTACTGCTTGCCTGCACCGATGCAGATTGCTATTGGTATGTGGATGACCATTTATTATTACTACTTAGCGGCCGCCCTCGACTTCGTAAAAAGTACAAACCTACTTACCTGCCAAATTACAGGAACTTTGCAGGGAATAGTTGGCTTTTTTTATTTGGTAAACGATAACTTCAGAAAAAAAATAAGATGGGTCGTGGAAAGACATCGTTAAGACATATTTTATGATGAAGCATAACTATGTACATGGCTAACTCTATAACAAGCTTGTTTGCTATATAAGATTTTAAACTTTCGCGTTCCATTTCAACTAAAATAGTAAGACACGGGTCTTAAGCCCGGCTGCAACATAGCAGCCGAAACGTCATGCCGTGAGTACTTAATGTAACTCATTAATAAACGTCGCGTTAAGACCCGTGTCTTACTACTTATTTAAACTTGTTTGCTGCTGATTGGAGCATGGTCATAATTATGATTTATTTCTTCTTCTACAATGTAACCTCTTGAGATTGCAGGTCCCTCGACGCGTACATAGACCCTACCAAGCGAAAGGACTCTGTCCCTTACTGGAACTACTTCATTCTGAAGTACCAGTTCTTCATCCTATACTTCATGGCTGGCTTGAAGAAGGGCACTGCTGAGTGGCTCTCTGGTTACTCCGTGCAGAACCTCAGCGAGCACTGGGTGTTTGCACCTTTTAGGTAAGTAAATACAATAATTACTAATATAAATAAATAAATAAATAAATCTTTGGACAATTTCACACAGCGTCAGCTAGCCCCAAAGTAAGCAACTTAATGCTTGTGTTATGGGTGCTAGCTTGACGGAATATATATTCCACCCACTGGCTAGTGTAGACTTTTGATGCAGGAGTTAGAGGAGCGATCACTATAAGCGCTATAGATCGTTTCATCCACGAAGACGTGCCCCACCAATTTTTGGTCAAGGGAAGTGCGGGGTACGGGGAGTTTGATCCGAGCAATCCGAGCGTCATTATTGTCACTCACGCACTGTGAGCACTCATGGATAATAATTTAGCGTATATCGATAACACTCAAACATTAGCGGAAGAATGGTGGGGTGCGTCTTCGTGGATGAAACGATCTATAGGTGGTAAGGGGCAGCTAAATGACATGGTAAGTACCTACTGTAATTATCTAAGATATCTAAGAGATAGATGAAACCTATCTACTGTATTTACTTAATATGCCTAATGATTCGTTTGAATGAGCAGGCCTACCTCTACATAGAATTCATTGCCACTAGTAAGTCGAGTAGGCATCAAGTGCATCAAGTGTGGAACATTATCTATCCCTCATGACGTCAAAACACTCACGGTCATATAAACGTCATTGATATTGAATTATTATTGATTATAGTCAATAATTATTGTCCTTAAAATTTGCAAAGTTGAAATTAATTGCAAATTATGTCCATGTAAACTATTTAAAACGAGTTAGATTTTTGGAATTCGCCTGAAGGTGATGCCTTTAGGCACCATCTTGATTAATAGCATAGAAACCTTCTTAATTCTCAATATCATCATAATTTAAGTCCTTAATGTTGCCATAGGTCACACATAGATTGACCTCATAGATCTTAGCCTAGGCGCAGACCACCAATTTTTAGTTGGCCGATAGTTGGACCCGATTCTGTGCGCACTTTCATACATCTCCGTACTGATTAACAGCCTGACCCAACTATCGGCCAACTAAAAATCGATGGTCTACGCCTAGGCTTAATAAGTGAATTCCCACTTTTTTTAATTCATTGTCACTTCCCACTTGCCCTCAATTTCACTCAAAGAGGTAAGAAAGATTCTTACTTCTTTATTTTCTTCATCTTCTATCTTTCTTATCTTCCAGGCTGTTCCTCACAGTGCCGCAGACGGACTACCTGGTGGTGCACTGGTTCATCTTCGCGTTCGACCTGACGGTGGCCGCGTGGATGATGTGGTCGCGCTCGCGGCACGTCGCCATGTTGTTATGCGCTCTCTTCCATCTCATGAACAGCAGGCTGTTCAGAATCGGTACTGTGCAAACAAATGTAGCTAAAAGAATGTGTATTTTTTGGTATTCCGGTTACTTTTTCATGAGAAATCTCAAGCTTTCCGTGTACGAACTACGAAACGGTCAAAAAAGGTCACTTGTTAGTTGCTAAGACAGTGGCGCCAATTGGTGAGCACTGATGCGAAGTGGGTCTATCATTCATCATCATAAGCATCATAAACATTTGCACTCATTAGGATGGCGTCAAATGGCCCTCAGAGTTCCGTTTTATAAAACAGTTCTACTTCCAACACAACACATCTTTAGAAAATAAATTCATAACTTCTTTACTATTGATTAAACCAACCTACATAAACTGTTTAATAATTTCAGGTATGTTCCCTTGGGTATGCCTAGCCACGATGCCACTCTTTTACCCATTTGACTGGCCAAAGCTTGCTGTTACTCTCGCCAGCGAAAAATATTTGACTTACAAAAATAAACTATGCGATTTGTTCAGAGTTATAATGTGGCACTCAAAGGGGTGCCAATGTTGGACCAACCGATTTGATGATAAGGATTCTGATGAAGGTCTAACAAATGACGTAACCGATGAAGATGAAGTCAATGACGATTGTAAAGATGTCAATGAACCTAATTTAGCTGACAACACGGACGAATCAAACGATGAAGTGTTTACCAATCCCAAAAGTGAAGATGATTGTAATCCAAAGAAAAATATTACAAAGAGTGTTGATCAAACAGAAGTGACGAACGATACAGAAAATTATCGAAAAAACTGTTTGACGACGTATCTCATCATAGCTTTCGTTATAATTCAAGCGTTTCTACCATACTCACATTTCATTACTAAGGTACGTAACTACCTAGGTTACCTACTTACTATTGGGTGGAAATTAAACTCCGTATAACTTTATTACTTTAGTCTATGATCAAGAAGACTGACTTTACATGCTCTGTGACTGACTCTAGTTCCGGCTCCGCTGTCGAATGCCTCGCTCAATCAACGCTTCTGATTGGCTGACGTCTCTGATTGGCTTTTGTAATTCTAGTATCAACTCGTAACGTAAATCGACTTAAAACCTAAAAAAAAAGTGTATAAAGATATTTCAAAAAAATAGTTTAAGTAGGTTTTATATTTTACTATTATAATCGACAATAAAAAAATAATAAAATTACCGGTAGTTATTAAAATCATAATTGTTGCAATTCTAGTTAATTGACCCAACATAAACGGAAATCAATAAAATACACTAAATAAAGTAGGTTAATTACACTAGTTTACAAAAAAAAAGTTTTTCTTTTACCCAAAGATAATTCATATTGTATGTGTTTTCTACCAGCCCCCTTATTACAAAAATATATGTCTCATATTTTTATCACGTCAAGTTTTTGATATATCCACATTAACCTAAGTAAGCTGTCTTGTTAGCCGTATCAGAGTTTCTACTTTATTTTAATTGCGTTTATGTATTATTTTAACATTTTCACTTGTTTTAAAATGTCACCAAGGCAGTGTAAATTAAGCCCAAATAACTTTTGCTGAGTTTGTGGTCAAATTATATTGTCAAATAAGAAGAGACCAATCACTAAGGCCGTAAAACGGGCCTATTTCTATTACTTTTTTAATCTCGGTAACAAACCTGATAAAAAATGGGTTCCTGGTGTTGTGTGCGAAAATTTGAGAAGTATATTATTGCACTAGGCTGCAGGAAAAAGAAAACATTACGATTTGGCACCCCAATGTTATGGAGAGAACCAACAAATCACACTAATGACAGTTACTTCTGCCTCATTAAAACTACAAGTTTTAACAACAAAAACCAAGAACATACAATATCCTGATGTTGCATCAGTTATAAAACCTATGCTGCAATCTGAAGGAGTTCTTTATCCGTCATTACCCAGCAATTCCAGTAAGGGAAAGATGCTTGGTATTCATTTAAAGCAGTAGTGAAAAGTTTCCTGGGAAACTATAAAATCTGAGAATTATGCAGAAATTGTTTCCAAATTATTGAGGAATTACCAAAGAATGGGTGTGAATAAGTCGTTAAAAATTCATTTTTTACATTCTCACCTGGATTTTTTTCCTGAAAACCTGGGAAGCGTGAATGTTGAGCATGGCGAAAGTTTTCACCAGGATTTGAAGGTTTTTGAGGAAATAATCTAAGGAATTGGGGATAAAAATATGTTAGCGGATTGCTGCTGGTCTATAATAAGGGAAACTGATACTAATTAGTAGAAAAGAAGGAGTAACACGACTCATTTTTGGTTGTTTTTAGAGATAAATGTATAAAAATGATAAAAATTAATATAATCAATATTTACAAAATTTGACGTCCTAAATTTTTTCTAAGTTCAGTTTTTAAGTAAGGGTTAATAACTCTAATGATACATATCAGTTTCATCTCTGGGTAAAAAACCTTGTAAACTAGTGTTATTACTACAATCAATTTAAAAATGACTAAAATAACAATAGTTATTGTATAAATATAAATAACCTATTTAATATTACATTAATATTGCATGACTGACAAAGTACTAGTAGGCAAGTAGATAATAATTAGAGTATCAGAAGATTAATAAAATTGTAGCTATTAACTAAAATTTGCTAGTTAAACAATTTACTTAAAACACTTAATAATTACTCGGAACAATAGCTACTTATAATAGTTTTATACCTACATATAGCAATGAGTCATGATTCCCTAAACTGCTTGCTAACATCAAGAATAACTTTTTTATGAAGCTCTACTTAATTCTTGAAATTTTAATGATGATTTTTTTAGGGGTACAACAATTGGACAAATGGCCTTTATGGCTACTCCTGGGATATGATGGTGCACACTTGGGAGCCGCACTCGATAGTCGTTAAGGTGGTCGACAATAAAGCCAACCAAGAGTTTTACGTGGACCCCGATCTCTTTACTCTGAACGACCGGTGGACCAGACACGGCGATATGGTCCACCAGTACGCCAAATGCTTGGAACAAAAGTTAGCTCAATCGGGAAAGAGTTACACGTATCGGAAGATTCCAAAAAATATCTCCATTTACATAGACGTTTGGTGCTCGATGAACGGTAGATTCATCCAGAGAATGTTTGATCCCAAAGTGGATTTGTTGAAGGCAGATTGGTCGCCGTTGCAGCCTGTACCGTACTTGATGCCGCTACTGGACGAAGCACTGCATTGGAGGACAGCACTAGATGATATTAGGAATAATGTCCTTTCTTGGAGTAACTACAGTGACGTAACATTTATTGCAGATTTTCCTGGTGAGTTTTTTTTACCTAAATTGTAAGTTAGTATGTTTACAGCATCCGCCTACAATGTTTTTCAAATTAAAAAATACCTAAAAAAATAAATATTCTCAATGTCAAGGTAACTAGGTAGGTGTTTGACCCATGGTTGATATTAGAGATAGATTACCTACCCTTTATTTAAAATTAAAACTTATGGCTAGGAAGCGATCTCTTCCAAATAGGTATGCAGGAAGAGGACAAAATTAGTATATTAGTTAGTTGTATTAAGTACAATAACATTACATAGGTATTGGGTACAGGCTGCTTTTTTCTTTTTTATTGAACTGTGTGATTTACCGATACCTTGATAGATTGTCTCTGAATGTATCTGTTTATTTGATATTAAATTCAAATCCAAAATTTTTATTGCATATTAGTAAAACAACAAAGTTATTTTTAACATTACACAATACCTTCCACGATACCTTCACCTGTATTTGAAACATTAGAAAGTTGTTTGCCCTTCACAGGTTATGATCAAGAAAAGTTTATTCCAAGTGAGCTGAAGAACGTCACCCTAACCGTATTGGAAGGGCAGGTCGCCTTCGAGTCAGAGGTCACCGAGGCCTACAAGGGCCAGTCTACCAAGCTCTTCGTCGGAAACTCGACTCTAGTGACTTCTGGAAGCTTCCATAAGGTCCTCAACATTGGAAACCAGCCTGCTTTCTACATGTACACTTATTACAACAGCTCTGAAGTAACTGAACCTATGGAACCAAAGCCGAAACTACCCATAGGCAGTGAATTGTTACGAAGGCTCCGTAATATGTTGACGTTTGGATATATTGTTGTTAAAGGTGTAGCTCAGTCTTTTTACAATACGTTTGAATGTTATTAGATAAGTTACAAGCTTTTGTATCTTCCTTCTATTTATTAAAAAACATTATTGTCGTCAAGGAATCTATTGTTTTCTTTGCTGATAGTATACAAGCATTGTTTACTCTACCTTCACACATACATTATGTAACTAAGTATTGGTATTACATACTTACCTATACAAATCACACTGTTCTGCAGTTAACAAAGTGCCAAACTTATTCTTTAGTTAAAAGTTATCTGACGATTGAAAAATCAGTCCTTAATAGAATAAAAAGAGCGGGATAACTTTTTGAAATGGGACTACCGGAAACGGATATCACAACACGTTAAGACAAAGGGTGTGTTCCATTCCAACCTTTTGTTTGTAATTTTCGATTTTTATTTGTGCAATAGCTTAATAATTTTAAAACTTATGAATGATCGAGAGATCACAATATTTAATATTAAACAAAACTGTATGAACGAAGCACAGGCTGAGTCCGCACCCACTTTATAGCGTTTTACATGTGAAATACTAATCCGAAAGTTTCGATTCGATATTGGAACGACACGACTACCGCACGGTGGGCTGATATTAGAGCTTCATAGACTTAGCGTCGCTCAAAAATCAAGCGCCGAATTTTGAAAAAATAAATATGCCAATGTGTTCCTTTACCAAAAAGGAATATTTTATGTTATGTAACGTTTCTTGATAAAGTTATTATTTAATAAGTTATTGACAATTTCCTTTTTTTTTGTATGGAGCTCAACATTTATTTTTATTTTATTCGTTATTCTCAAGCTTTCTTAAGAAATTGACTTTTGTATTATGTAATGCAACATATAAGCTATGTTATCACCAAGTGTCGCATTTCGGAAATCTTCGGAACATTGTCATTTTGGACTTTAAAATAAAAAAAAATAAAAAAATTAAATAACTGCCAAATTTTGTAAATATAACTACGCCAATGTGTTCCTTTGCCAAAAAGAAATATTTTATGTTATGTAACTTTTTTTGATAAAGTTATTATTTAATAAGTTATTGACAATAATTACTTTTTTTTTGTATGGAGCTCAACATTTATTTTTATTTTATTCGTTATTCTTAAGCTTTCTTAAGAAAATGCTTTTTGTATTATGTAATGCATCATATAAGCTATATTATCACCAAGGGACGAATCCCGGAAACCCTCGGAACATTGTCATTTTCGACTTTAAAATAAAAAAATAATAAAAAGAAAACTGCAATGTTATGTACTTTCTTCCGTACTATTCTAACGAGGTGAAGAACTAAGCACGTTTTTTATAGTGGTGTTCCCAGGAGGCCTAATCCACATGATTACTAAGGTTACTATAATACATATAATATTTGTTTTATGGAAATTAAGCCAGTTTGAAGTTAAATTTATTGGTTAGACTCAAGCGCCACTTTCTGAATCTACAAAAGTAAAGTTTTCTTTCTCAGTATCAGCCTAGACATGAAATTGATCATTTATAGTGGACTTTTTGGTGGTGTTGAAAACCTTTCTTGATGGCAATTACGTCTAAATTATTCATTTCTGTTGATATGGCTTTACAAATATCACATCGCTGCTTGTGCCATTTATCAACGATATTATTTTTCTATCTATCAAGTGAGAATCAGTTATTACGAGATTGTTTTGCTTCCAGAATTTTATTACGATCTATTAAATTTTCAATTTCCGCGTCCATTAAGTTTTTTTCATTGTTAACATTAAAATAGGTCGACAATAAATTAAATGCAGCTTATTTTGAATAAAAAAAAATGGGTCTCCTTCATAAATTTGAAAAAGAAATGAGTCGATAGTAAAAAGTGGAGCTAGAAACCTTATTTTCCCGTATCCATTTTATCTGGAGACATCAAACCGAACGTTCATTTAGGCACTTACAAGTTGCCCTAAAACGCTAGAATCATCATTTTCGCAAATTTTGTTTCGCAGACCAAACTATACTACGTACATGAAGCTCTACATACGTACATGCCTGCAAGCATACAAAATTATTGCTCACGGAAAAGATATTTACTTCCAATCAGAAAGTACTACACCACGCTCGAATTTTGTAGGAGAGCAACTAATGAAGATATTTTACACAATTTATTTTTAAAATCTGATTCTCAGATATAGATAATTAATAATATAAACTTCATAGAAAACACAAAGTTTTATCAACAGCAGCAAAAAGTTAATTAATAAATGATCGATTTGATGATGAGGCTGATACTGATACTGAAAGAAAGCTTTACTTTTGTGGACATTAGCCTATTTCACGGTTCAGAAACTGACTCTGAATAACCAATAAACTTAACTTCACACTGGCTTAATTTCCATAAAACATATTTTAATAATCTTACAAGTGAATTAGGCCTCCTGGAAACACCACTATAAAAAAACGTGCTTAGTTCTTCACCTCGTTAGGGTAGTACGGAAGAAAGTACATAACATTGCAGTAATTTTTTTTTTCGTTTTTTTTATTTTATTTTAAAGTCGAAAATGACAATGTTCCGAGGGTTTCCGGGATTCATCCCTTGGTGATAATATAGCTTATATGATGCATTACATAATACAAAAAGCAATTTCTTAAGAAAGCTTAAGAATAACGAATAAAATAAAAATAAATGTTGAGCTCCATACAAAAAAAAAGGAAATTGTCAATAACTTATTAAATAATAACTTTATCAAGAAACGTTACATAACATAAAATATTCCTTTTTGGTAAAGGAACACATTGGCATATTTATTTTTTCAAAATTCGGCACTTGATTTTTGAGCGACGCTAAGTCTATGAAGCTCTAATATCAGCCCACCGTGTACCGGTTACCGGTAGCACTCCTCTACTAGCAAACTATTTTTGCGAAATGGTAACATTGAAGCCGGGTGGGGTGTCTGTCGGATGGCCGTTTGTCAAATATGTCATGCAAACGTCAAAGATGAAAGAAAATGATTTTAAGAAGACACGGCGGCGTGGCGTGATCGTTTTTATCTAGTTCATTCAATTTTGTCGCGCTGTAGTGTCGAACCGTATAGGTTTTGACTGCGGCGGATGCCTCGTCACCTCGAATAAATAGTCAACGTTACCGCGCGGCGTGGTCATTACAGATTATACTATCAAAGAGGCAGTACGCCTCGCCACCCCTTCGAAATATTGACGTTTTGTCATTTGTGATATAACGATACACTTCGTATCACGATAATTTTTAGGTTAAATCATCTACCTGTGATCAGTGTAACTTTCTGAGTAAAAGCAATTTGCTGAGTGCCTGCCTGTTTCAGTGAAAGACTTTTGGACTAGTTTACATACAAATATGGAGTCAAAAATGTCTTACAACCTGGACGTTATGCCGAATTATTCGTACGTTTTCGAATTTGAAAACGAATTTCAACATAATAAGTATAGGGAGTGGATGACCGAAAACTGGACTGTGGCATTTTATTATGTGGGAGCTTATATGGCTTTTATTTACGGGGGTCAATACTACATGCAGAATCGCCCCAGGTAAGTCTCATAATCCTTATTTACAAGGTGATGCTATGTACATAACGCCTGATAGCACTGAACTTGACAGGCATCAGTACTAGAATACATGTGACCTCATACCAGCGCTTGTGTAAAACAATTTATATTGTAATCCTATTTGTTTATTGAGACTTTTCTTACCATGCTTATATTTATTTGAATATGATTTTACATACGATACAAATTATCATTGGTAAGAGTAGTCAAAGATTAGAGTTCCACCGGAGACAAATTATTAAATACATATAATTAATTATCCGATAGATTTAGTGGCCATCTACTTTGATGCCTTGGTTTGGTATTAATGTATAATTATGCTTTATAATTTCATTCTGAACTATCTGATTTTAAGCAGGTGCAAGTTTAATATCTATTGCTAAGAATTTCAGAATTTACTAATTAGGTTATTGTTACAATTCTTTGAAAATAAATTAGTAATTTAGTAGTGCTCAGCAGTTCATAATGGACAGGGAAATATTGAAATACATGGAAAAAACAAGGAAAACCAGATACTTAAACATATGTTAGCTTGAGTTTTTGTAGTATATTTTATAAGTGATAAAATCCAATTGGAATAACACGTCTCAAATTGGCATAATTTAAGAACTTTATCATGGAATACCTACCTACAGGCCTAAACTTGATTTAGGTATTAAATAGTCACTAAATCAAAATTATTATTAACATAAAAGAACTCATCAAAACTTAAAATAATTAAAAATATTTAATTTTTTTTAATGTTACACTTAAACAATTAAATTACTTAAGTAGGTAGGTACCTACTGCTTAATCTAATTTCATAATAATAGTTATTGACAGAAATTAGTTTAGTGTTGATGTTAGGTATTTATACAGTTGAATTAAATTCATTCATTTATGCGTAAATGTTAATGGTATGCAGGGGAAATTCAAATACTTATGTATTGAAGTATGCTAAAAATACATAATACATGAAAATATCTCTATTAGGTATCTCTAATTAGCATTTAAAAATAAATGAGCATTGTAAAACTTTTTTGGTGTACTGTAATTTTTTTTGTTTTGAATAACTTTTGGTTTTTATTTTAAACTAGCGGCCGCCCGAATCTTCGCACGCGTGGACCCCATTTTAATTTAAAGGGGTTGAATTTTGCAAATCTCACCGTAAAAACCATCCTTGAACTTAAAAAAAAAAGAATTGGATAAATTGATCCAGGGGTTGTTGAGTTATGTGCTTACCAACACATTTTGGGATTCATTTTTAATTAATAGAAGATAGAGGGTTAATATGTCAATGTAAACTTATGGCTATAGTACTTTTTGCTAAACAACATTGACTGACACCTACCTACATTTATTTATAAAGTTAGTCATTCAAAAATATTCAATATGTTTAAATATTAGGCTATTAATATTAAGTTTAGATCATCATAATATTAATATCCTAAACAGTTTTTTCTTAAAGACAAAAAATTAAGTCCTATTGCTTTTGTAGTCCAAAGTCAAACTGTATTGTTCAGCCTAATAAAATTGAATTGAAACTTCATTTATTTATGTTTTCATGAATAAGTTGAATTAAAGTAACACACAACTGCATAATATTTTGAAAAATTGCAATTAAAATATGTTATTACAAATTAAAATACATGAGTACAGAAAATTTATTAAATAAAAAACAATAAGCTTTTTAAAAAGTTGATAGACAGGTTTCTTTTTTAGGGTTCCGTAGCCAAAATGGCAAAAACGGAACCCTTATAGTTTCGTCATGTCCGTCTGTCCGTCTGTCCGTCTGTCCGTCTGTCCGTCTGTCCGTCTGTCCGTCTGTCCGTCTGTCACAGCCGATTTACTCGGAAACTATAAGTACTACAGTGATGAAATTTGATGGGAATATGTGTTGTATGAACCGCTACAAAATTATGACACTAAATAGTAAAAAAAAGAATTGGGGGTGGGGCCCCCCATACATGTAACTGAGGGATGAAAATTTTTTTTCGATGTACATACCCGTGTGGGGTATCAATGGAAAGGTCTTTTAAAATGATATAAAGTTTTCTAAAAAACATTTTTCTTAAAGTGAACGGTTTTTGAGATATCAGCTCTCAAAGTCGTAAAAAGTATGTCCCCCCCCCTCTATTTTTATAACTACGGGGTATAAAATTCTAAAAAAAATAGAGGTGATGCATGCTAATTAACTCTTTCAACGATTTTTGGTTTGATCAAAGTATCTCTTATAGTTTTTGAGATAGGTTGATTAAATTGACATAATAAGTTTTTTTACAATCTAATTAGGATAATATCATCAATATTTTAAATGCCAATGATATTTAATCTATTTTAAAACTGCTTGCATATTGTTGATTTAGTTAATTTAAAAATAGCTTTTAAGCAGATTTATAAATCTGTTATTTAAATAAAATAAATCTGTACATGTGCATGTAAAGTGGTTTAATAACTGACCAGTGACCACTTTGATAGTATAGTACAACTCTGTATGGTTAAGAAGAATTATAATCTATCTTATTAGTAACTTAATTTATGTTTAGGATAAAGGAGGTAAAGTGTTAAGTGCCATTTACGCAACTTCGTCTTTAAAATCGTTTTGAATATTTTTTCCCGTTTCCACAATATTTTTCATTGATGCTCCGTCCGCTCCTATTAGTCAAAGCGTGATGGAATATAGCCTTTAGCCTTCCTCTATAAATGAGCTAATCAAATCTGAGCATTAGTTCCCGAGAAAAGCACGTTCTACCAAACAAACTTTTTAGCTGTAATAAAGAATCCTCACGCGTCTCATTTATAAGACGTTTTTTTAACATACTAGGTACTCGTCAAATTATTATTAAGACTAGCTTTCCGCCCGCGGCTTCGCGCGCGTGGACTACATTATCTACATATTTTACGGAACACTATTTTTTTCCAAAATAAAATTTAGCCTATGTTACTCGTGGATAAGGTAGCTTTCGAATGGTGAAAGAATTTTTAGAAACGGTCCAGTAGTTTTTGAGCCTATTCATTACAACCAAACAAACAAACAAAGTTTTCCTCTTTATAATATTAGTGTAGAAGTGTAGATAAGCGGCTGCCCGCGACTTCGTACGCTTGAAAATAGTTTGTAATTCCTCGTTTTCGCAACATTTTTTTCTACTGCTCCGCCCCTATTGGCCGCAGGGTGATGATAGCCAAGCCTTCCTCGATAAAGGTGCTATCCAACACTATACGATTAACTTATCAACAAAACAATTTCAGAGTTATCATTTTTATTTATAATTTAACTTGACGGGTTTTGCTAAGTATTTTATGAGGCATTTAGATAAATTTTAGCAGTTTTTATTATCAAGAGTAGATAAGACAAAGCTGAGTAAGTTTTTAAACGAGTTTGGTGATTATTTTTGCAAACTGTAAATTATAGAGCATCATTTCATTTCTATTTCATCATTTATGCTATCTTCAAAACTATTCATTTCAAATCGTTTTAGTCATAAACATGAAAGTAGGTAAAATAAGCGACCATAGGATGTGGGAAGGTTACGTTAATTCCAAAATGGCTTCATAAAATGGCCCAACATTGTGGTAACAAGGAAGGAAGGACGTTTATCTTCAAATTAAAACACCAAAGACGTAGGATTGCGAAACAAAACACTGGCAAGGAGGTGGGGGGTAGTCACTTTCGTTCATGGGCCGCCCGGGAGGGGGGCGCCAGATGCAGCGGCTTGTGAATGGGCCTCCGCATCCGATCTGCAACGTTACGTAACCGTTTTTGGCACGCTTTTCCAAATTCAAAGCCAGATAAAAGTGACGTAATTTACCGGCTTGTGGGTTTTTGGTATTTTATGAGCATATTGATTGGCATAGGTTAAGTGCCTTTTTCCTATAATGCGGATTTCGGCACGCGTGCGGATCTGGTGACGAAACGAACTCGCGATCCGAATCGGATCATCCGATCCACACGCGTGACGAAATCCGCATCACAGGATAAAGGCACGAACAGTTTAAGCGTAGGTAGGTTATGTACATAATGTACATTATAATTAAACTAGTTACTAGGTATCATGTGGTTATTGAATACCAGACCACATATTTAAGTCTATGATTCGAGAATGGTACAAATATGTAATACAATGATTGATAATCAAGTTATTATTGAAGTTGAAAGCGGGAATGGAATCAATGAAGCTTTTCAAAAACTTATTTACTTAATTCTTCCAATATTTGTATAAATATGCTGTAAAAACAAGCAGTAGGTACAAAATAACATTTTATTTGAATTACTTTATAACGACATTTCTAAAAACGCTGTGATTTTTTGCAACTATATGTATTTTCATCTTTCACCATTGTTATTTGTGTTGTTTGTTTATAATAACCTTCGTTGAATACAAAAATAATAATATAAAATACAAGGACAAAAATCTGAAGACACAGTTCATCGATTTGCGTCATAGAGGTTTCCGTTTTTAGTGACAATTTACAAACACTGCAACTACTGCAAGAAAATGACAGAATTTTTAAATAGGTAGGAGGTAGGTGTACAGACGACAGCACATCAGGCAATACATTTTCGTTGCAAAGTCGCCCTTATCGCAACTACGTATGATACCACAGTGTTTACGTTGACGTGCTGTCGACTGTACATATTATCTAGGCATACAAGTAATTAACATTACGAAAATTTTACTTGTAAATTGTCTTTCATTTAGCTTTCAACACATAATACTAATGTACAATGTATGCATATGCATAATTAATTATGGATGAGAGTTTTCAATAGAATTTGCATGACATTTATTTTATTTTTCACTATAATATTTAGAAATGTACATACTTAGTCGGGTCATAAGTTCTGTCACATGTTTATACCGTAATAATTGATACTAAATTTGTTTTTACGGTAATCATTCATATACCAATAGAAAGGTATTAAAACAAAGATTTTATGCTTATACAAATTATTTCAAATTTTCCTCGCAATTATGAATACAAGGGTTCAAACTGCGCGGTCA